GTCGATCGAGCGAACGATGACGGGCGGTCGAAAAAGAAGATATCGGTGTTTTGCGTGTGCACTTCTGTCACTTGCCAGCGAAAATTTCCGTTCGCACTTGAAATGCCTTCGTTGTTCCGTCCTATTTCTATTGTCGTCGGTAGGGTTGTCACTATTTCTTAACATTCGTTTACGGTTCACAAATCAACAGTAATAATATTTCCCATGACTACGCCAGTTTTACTGATGTCTTCTTTGACTCAGTCTGAAAGAAGACCGGCTCGATGTAAATTTATTCAGTCGTTGGCAGCATCGAGATGAAATTTTTCGTGAATGTACTATAGTTTAACCTTCTGTATTACATTGACTTCTCGCGGAAACGGTTATTTTAAAGTACAAAAGTAAAATAACCTATTTACGTCCCACTTTGAAGCAAATGCCACCTCGTTACGGATTGTATTAGGGCGGGCATAGCCATAGCCAACTACGCGACCCCACTGCGATTGGCAGACTTCACCATATCTTCTCTCTCGCCGAAAATATGCAGGTTTCTTAACGATGTTTGCCTTCACCGTTAAGCACTTGATGAGTCAGCACTTAAAATTGCAATTAACAATTTCATTGTCGTCGGCACAGGGATTTGAACTCAGATTGCTAAAGTATGTTGGATTAAAAAAGACCAATCGGACTCTGAGCCATCAAGCCTTCGGTTTAACTTTTATCGGCAATTACGTTGAGGATGTAATAATACAATAAATATTGGTGGAAAGCGGGCACCAGCTGGTCTTTGTGTGCTGCGTAATAAGACAAAATTATAAATTACTAAGGTAGTGTCGGTGACCGTATACGTATATTCTAACGTGTGTGAGACCATAAAACAATTGCACGCCTGTAAGTGACAGTGTACTAATAAAATTCTCGATAGGCCTTCTGATATTATCTATTTCATAAGTAGCGTTCGTCCCCTTTTTTAAGTCGACAAAAAAGTCGACTGCAATTCGATGAAAATTTTTGGAAACAATATTTTTCACGCGGCAAATACCCGTTATTTTGATTTTTACAAGGAAACATTTAAACCGTCAATAAATACACGTAGATCGAACACATAAATCTCCTTTTTCGTTTTTACCGCCGTCGGACAATAATAATAGGTCTTATATTACTCAATATATTTTCCCTTAACTTTATCTATGTTTCTTTAGCCATCTAGTTTTCTCTACCCAACGGTCCTATGAAGCTCTCAGATATTTACCCTAATGCACTAGTAATAAAGTTGATATTCGAACAACTACAACGATAGCATCCCCGACAACACCCGTTAACCGCTAACGTACTTTCGCGCGTTACGGTATTAAAACGTTAACATTTACGTTATCGGTGTCGACGTGGAGTCGTATCTTACTTAAGGCTACTGCGTAACGAATGACTCTTTAACGATGATGACTCACAGACTTCCCCCGAGCGCGTTTCGAAAAACCGGATTCATCGTACGCAGCGGACTGATCCGTTATATTAATAACTTTTTTTTTTCGTTGATTGACGACTATCGGAATCGTTTAACTTTAAATCAAATAGTGGCGGTTGATTCCCGATCTAATCGTTTATTGGTGATTTCTCTTTTTATTTGAGGATTTTATGTGAATTAGGTAATTTTAGTACTGGAGTGCACTAATGTCTTACAATACTACTGTCTTCTTGTTTAACTACATGAACGTTAACTTTATTTTAATTTTCTTTCATATTGTAGGTATGTACCATATTGCCCAGTCGTGATTTAACACCAGCGTATATTTAGGCTGTAATTACATTAATTTATAGCAGAAAACTAGTATGTATAATTTACTTGAAACAATTTCAACAGAAACTCTTGAATCCGAGATTGAGGAAGACCGAACCTAAATTGATAATGTTGTAGTGATGTCAAATTGATCATTTACTTAACTTAAAACTTAATGCTAAACTTCAAACTAAAGACTAGAGGTACGAGGAATATTATAGCTATTAAATAGTATTATTATTTGAATTTTGAATATTCTTTCATGCACTCATTACTGTCGCATAAAGGTTCAATTGCGTTCGAACGTTTCGTTGGTCTTATGTGTATTGATTTTTTTTTGCCAACATTATCTTTTCAATGTTTTGTTGAATGTTACCAGACTGGCGCATTTAAGATACTTGTATAACAATAAAACAGATTAACATGTACCCATGACTCATTATCAATTTAATAAAATATGTTAACTATCTTTGGCCCCTCATTTGAATAACTCTTGAAAAAAGTTTGCACTTTATTTAATTCCCAGCCCGTATCGTTTGTAAAATCGAACACTAAACGTTATCAGCACTTAGCGAGCGGCTTTGGCATTTGGCCAAACGCTGTGTTATCGGTGATAACGGAAATGGTGAATTTTTTTTTGCTGAATCTCCGTCACACCTACCATGTCACGTAGACCGGCAACTTAACGAACCACATATACGATATCCAATAATATATTCATTAGAAACATGAAAAAATCTTTTAAACATTTCTAGTCATCGACCGTGATCAGAAACTTCCATCAACATTTAGTTCAATTATTAGTCAAGCGAAGCCTGTGTCGCCTTTTCTTCTTTTTTTATTTTTAAAGGAGGGTTTATTTATGTTTTCATGAGTATGCCACCCTCATAGGCAGCCTTCTCTGTTTTAAATGCAACTGTGAAACTCACTCAATGGCTTAAGTTTTTGTTTCTCGTAAAATTTCGTTTCTGCCACTAGTTGGATTATTTCCACAAACTTTCTGGATAGAAAACTGAAAAACTAGTTCTAAAATTGTACGTTCCTCTTATACGCTATCACAAACATCAGCTTTTGAAAGAGGCCTTTGAGTACAATTTAAACTAACCGTTTGTTTCGATAGTTTAGCAATTATTGACAATCTTCCTTGACAAGATTGAATGAAAAACATTACGCATTTATATCTATGCAATTATTTTTTGGTAGAAATGTTATCGCGTGAGGTATGGAGAAGGTGACAAGCGAGCAGGCGCTTTATCTGATACTAGCGAACCGCCCCGGCTTCGCACTTCGTGCAATGCCTGTTGCACCCGTGCAATATTATACGCAGAAACCTTCCTCTTGAATCACTCTACTTAGCATAAAAAAACCGCATCAAGATCCGTTGTGTAGTTTTAAAGATCTGAGCACACATAGTTACAGACAGACAGCGGGACGACTTTGTTTTATACTATGTAGTGATTGAGCAATTACCGCCGCTCTTTGAACCCGATGGACTAACATGAACACTAGCATACCTTATGAGGACTTCTTCCTGTGTGGTCGTGGTACTTATCACTCTTATTTACTCTCGTGAACCCTAAAAACCAGGTGCAAAAATATTGTTGCAAATTATTTATTAGCACATGTTATTGAAGTATGATTGAATAGATCAAAGAATTTTTCTTGCCACCACCCAAGAAAAGGAAAAAGGTAAAGTATTAAAAGCCCTAAATTAATTGTCTCATTATTTTCTTCCAAGCAAACTTAAAATTGATAATAAAGATAAGGACAAAGTTCTTGGGTGAACGTGATAAGTACATATGGGTTAAGTTTAGTGAACACCACGGGTTTGCAGTTGATTTGACATAGTCGAACCTGTTTACTTCACTCACGAAGAAAATGCAAAGAATTTTCGAATAATTCAATAGGGCTATTGTTACTTTCGACAGATGACGCTCTTATAGCATAATAAATAGGTTCTTACCGTAGCAAATGTTGACCATTGTTTATTAAAGATTTTTTTTAGTCCCAGTACCACAATTGATTCGAGGACTTATCGACAAATACGTCACTTGAATAAAATGAAAACAAACGAAGCTGTTATATATCCGTTTAAAACTAATTTACAAATAGCAAGGTGTAGTCCATACGATGAATACGATTTGAATTGTTTTATCCCCTCGCTCTATAAAAATAATATTTCTAATAAAAAATATTTCGCACTTTTTCTACTTATTTTAATTTTCTACATATTTAAAAAAAAAATATTTGTTTCATCTGCGTTGATTCGACGACCCGAATGGCGTAGTCGGTAGTGTACCTGCCTTCTGCGCCAGAGGATGTGGGTTCGATCCCCACTACTGGAAAAATATTGTGTGATGAGCGTAGTGTTTTTCTAGTGCCTGGGTGTTTATATATGTATAATGTGTATTTATTTACAAAAGAAAAGTATGTTTAAGTATGTCTATCAGTTTTCTAGTACCCATAGTACAAGCATTGCTTAGTTTGGGACTAGAGAATGTTGTGTAAAAAGAATGTGTCCTAAAAAAAAATCTATTAAATACAGGCCTCTCTCTGCCAGACCTACATCTTCGTGACTTCTGCACATATACAGCGTGTCTTTACAATCGCGACAATAAATGAACACACATATAGAGGATAACTTTTTAAAATTGTATTAAATATTTACATTCTTTAAACATCAATATTTACCGACTTATTAAATTTTCCAAAACAAACAATTTTAGAACACCCTTACGTATAAAACTGTAACGTAAAGTTCATTTGACTTTGAGTTGTTCAGTTGACACGCTGTATATCCTTACGACCTTAATTGATCCACCAAATATCTAAAAAATGTGTTTATTAAACACTTTAATAAATAGCGACGTTTTTCGAATTTACCATGCAAGATTTGGACTACGGCGCAAATGAGTGTCCGTCTACAACCGTTTTCTGTATAGGCCCTCCGGTATTTCAAAACTGTGCACGGCGCGCACACTCACTTCGAACGCGCATTGAAATTATTTTCGAAATAATAACAAAAACATTTTTCGATGATATGCAAAGTCCGCCAATCCGCAGTGGGGTCGCGTGGTAGACTTTGCCCTAATACCCTCCGCACAGAGTTCTTTGCCCAGCAGTGGGACAAACATAGGCTGTTACTTAACAGCTATGTATATTACCTTTATGTAGAATTCTGTCTTTTGAATGTTACGTTCGAAACGATCGAATCAGCAACGATATCGCTTAGAGAAACGGCACAATGGGCAATTGGGCACAGGAAGACAGTATGTCCGGGCCTGAGCACTCGGCCATGCGACGATTTCACGCCGCGCCGCCCCCAGACCCACAACCCGCAACAGCTGTGACACCCAAAGGTACCTCTAGAACGCAAACCGATCACATTGGGTGGTGTTATTATGTACTAGCTGATAACTGCCACAAGCGTCTGCGTTGTTAATTATATTAAAAATGTATTTTATTTAGCACGGAAAGAAAATCCACATCACGGAACACGGAGTAATTATAAAAATCGTTATTTTAAAAATTTTAATAAGTTTACATTAAATTAAGATATAAAAAGAATTAAGATTTTTTTAATAAAGGTCTAAGAAAAAAAACCTAAAAAAATTAAATGGAATCTATCCAGAAGTTTCTCCGTAATATACACACACCTGACGGATACATAGGTACCATCCATACATCCATTCAATTCATCGAACTAATATTGTCCAAAACATAATAATGGCTTTGCAGGCTTCTTGTAATCAAACTGAGAAAAGTTATCGACCTGAGGATATCAACTATTATCCATTTTTACCGTGGAATAATTAATTAAATAATGTAATGAGGCAAAACCTGTAAAAAAAAGATACGCTCTCATCTAAAGCCGCTATTCCCAAACTGAATTATATTCGTTTAATTAATTGAACGTCTAATCAAAGTAAAAATCTTGGTTTACACAACCTCTGCTTAACAACTCGTTTATTGTTCCGTTTTAAGTACGAGTACTTACTGTATCTTATAAAAATTAATGAGATGGAGCTTAAATGTAAGGCTTAAAGGTAACCTCAGTTAATTAAAGAGGAAGTTGTTTTTGGGAGTCATCATTCCGCACTGAGAATTTTACGCCCGCGCGTAAAACAATGTTATAATAAAATTTAGGCCCTACATCAACATGAACAGTGAAGGATTAAAGTGAATAACATTTTAAGGCAATCTGCATTCTTAGCGGTTTAGTATAGATAGATATTAGAATAGAGTTAACGATAAATAATAAATCGTTTAAAAGTTTCTAGAAATAGCAAATATATCAACAGAACTCATGTGAAAGGGTTGATATGCGTTTACTGATCTAGTACGCTTACTAATTGAGACCACTTTACAACTTACCACCAGTAGATAAAGCATTCAAGCACTGAGTTTTACTTTAAAGAGGCAGGAGCTCTAGAGTCCTAATTTCCCATCTTTTAATCAGACATCAACTGCTTTTTTATTATTTAAAATTAACAAGGCTGTTAAAATATATACGTTCAATGGCAAAAATATGCCGAACATAAACAGTAACCGAAATACTGTTAAAAAATTCACCAAAATTATAAAACGAGGAAGACAAAATATGTCGTCTTATTAATGAATGGAATGAAAGTCATCAATGTGAACGTAAGATACTTTTCAACTCTGTCATATAACAACTACTAATATTTCTTATTAAGTAAAACTGCTAAATTATTAATATTCCCATTCTATGCAATTCAAACAGTAAGTTACTATTCAATTTTCTGATTGACATACTGAACACGACGAATATTACTGAACTCTTACTACTCAAACTTGTGCATGTCGTTTCGTCAGAAGACTTAATGGTCTGTTGCGAATTTTACACACTTGTAATGTAATTATTGCAGAGTTTAAATTTAACAGCCGATTGACAAAATTATTGAACCATTAGAATATTGTGGATTACATATTAACCTCGAAGAAATAACGAGTATGGCGAACTGGCCATATATTTGTCATCTTATTTCTTTACTCAATTGTAAGCATAAAGTGATCTGTTATATTTGCTCAGGCATCAGTGTTTTATCTCGCTCCGTGTTACACACGGTAAATACAAACATACTCCCCTACGAATACGTAAAACGAACAACATTCTACCAACAGAATGCTTTGTGATGCAAAAATTTCACTCTGTCAGGCTTCAACGTCGGATAATGGATCGTGACGTGTTACAAATAAAGCCGCTTTTGCAGCGCTCGTTGAAATTATGTTATTCAAATCCAACCCGCATGTTGAATTCTTTTTTTTTGTTTTGTGAAATAGAAAGCAAAGCGAATTTTGTTAAAAGAACGAAGGAAAAGTTTTTTTTTATGGTTAACTTTAGTTATATACTTAAATTTCAATTCGACTGCTCATACAGTTTTTGGAAACAGAATATAATCCTCATGCCCAAAAAAAGTGCAGGCTAACCATCTCTGATATATTATTTTTCAAAAGGTGCATGGAACTTTCATAATGTTTCATCAAATTGAATGCTTATTTTTGCTACTATGAAGACTAGACAAGCAGAATAAAGTTAACATTTACATATAAAAGTTTGAGCTAAAAATTTATTTTAAGGAATTTGTCATAATGCCTCCTATTGACCATTCTTTTAAATGGAAGTGAAGTAGAATGTGACTTCTTTCTTCAAAATATGACCTTTCATTGATAAATTTTCAAATACACATCATTATATTACCACCCCCCATTAGATGGAGTCACGATCTGTTCAAATGTGGGGGAAGTCGCCATCGACTTCCCGCATATTTGAACAGGATATACAGGTGGCTCAGAGTCGTGTATCGTGGCAGTATGTGGCGGAGATCTATGTTCAGCAGTGGACTCAGGCTGAAATGATGATGAGATATTCGGTGAACGATTACGGTACCATATGACAATTTCGCCAACTTGTAATGACTTATTGTCAATTACAATGGACTTATTGTTTAACGGTGATTCCAGACGGGCGGTGCGGACAGCGGCTCCGGCGGCTCTGGAATGGAGTGCATGCAGATACGCTCGCAGCCGGGTCCGTTCCACTACCTCATATCGGAGCAGGCTAAGTCGCTCGTCGCCTTGCAGGTAGGCACCACCCTTGGAGCGCCTTTTTAAAATGAAAAGTTGCTAAGCGAGCGGGCGGTTGAAATGTAATTCTCATGGACATCTATAGCACTCGATGGCCTGCAGACGCAACAAACATTAAAAAGTCAAAACAAAACTGGCCAGCCGAATCGCCCTTCGCTTCACCTGATGTTGAGTGAAGACCACCAACCATGGTACAACACTTGAGGGCTTGCAGATTCTTTGACAACTTTTAAAGGAGTAGAGTAGCCTCGCTCAGTGGCAGACGAAACGCGAAAGTATAATACTGCTAATTCAGGACGGTCTTCTGTGAGGTCGTGGTATTTCCCCGGACGAGCCTGCCCATTCGTGCAACAGGAGATGCTGCTGCGTGACCCTACCACAGTGTGGAATTTTGCTGACACAACCTTCAGGCTGTTGTCGGCCGTACCGTCATACGAAGCGCCAGCTCTTTTGCCACCGATTCATCACATAATATACATTCACTAAGAGAATGAAGTCGTCAAGAGTATCCACTCTTGAACTGAACGTAAATAAGCAAAATCGCTCTGTAATTACAGTCAATTCACACAGTACGCGTTCAAATGATTGATGCTAATTGCCCCGCTCTTTACGTCGAACAACTCGTAACACAATAAGAAACGAGGTAGAGTAATGCGACTTAAATGTGAAAAACAGAGACGTAATGGCGGCACTATTTGCTTTGATTGCACTCCACATACGCTAAGTAAAATATTGCGATAGTTTTCATATTGGTATGGGTCGCTAGACAAAATGTTTTTGTAAAACAGACGAGTAATTGCACATTAAAATGCTTGACAACTATTTAATATATCGCAAAGGCGATATCTCTCGTTACAAATGTTCATCGTTGAATGTTCTTTATAAGGTTGCATACTTTACATACTTCAAATGATGCCCACTAGATGGCGTCTTAGCTTAGTTGTTTCGACTATCTGACTGTGCTGTAACATCCTGTTTATTATTCCTTCATCTCATTCATAATAAATAATATGTTCTTTTCGTTCGTTCTCTCTTCCGCCCAGGCCTCGACCGTTCGATATGTGCTCTGTATAAATATTTAAATAAAAAAGGCTAAAGTGCAATAGACGTGCTAAATTGTGAATCGGTGACTTTGGATGATCCGTCCCGAAGTCGAACCCCTCGTAAATCAATCGCTTCAACCGTTAACAATTCCGTGAAACACTCCAGGAGCTCCAGAATGAGGTGGGGGCGCTGCTCGAGTTCCGCGACCTCGTCATCGAGACGTTCCCCAACCTGCGCTCCAAGATGGCGCCCTCTGCGCCGGCCGGCGGCGCGCGCCGCGACTGGGAGCCGGGCGTGCGCGTGCGCAGGAAGCTGGCCGGCGCGGGCGGCGACAGCGCCAGGGCCAAGCCCCAGCCCTCCGTTCAGGTGGGGTTTTTTCTCCTTTACAAAGGGAAGCGACTGCCGCCCTGGAAATCCGCCGCCGGAGAACAGGGCGCAGGAGGCTGATAGTGAGACGCTGAGTGGTATTCATGGGGGTGTCTGTCGCTCAATATGGAGCTCGTGCCGTGTGCTGTGCCAATTGCACAGCATTTTGCACATTACATCCCGATGACGGGTGCAACGTGTTTTTTACGGGAGTTTCACATACCCCTGTCACTTCCCCGATCCACTGGCAGGGAATCGGTAAAGGATTTTTCCCACGAAAAGTATATATTTTGTGTGAATTATCCCGTGGATCACACAGTAGTTTTGTGTGGGAATCGAACCGACGACCGTCGATACCGAAGTCGACAGCTCGGCAACTGCGCAACTGAGCCATCAAGCCCCTGACCTTGGTGCAGGACTCGGGCTTCAGCACGGAGACGTCGTGCGGCAAGGACGCGCACTCGTCCGCGTCCGCCTCCGCGGGCGCGTCGCGGCAGCGGCCCCTCGAGGACGAGCTCTGGGCGCTCCTGGACACGATCCAGCGGAAGGGGGTGCGGGTGCGCGACGAGGCGGAGCTGCTGCGCGGCGAACTGGACGAGAGGGGCGGCTCAGGGGCCGGGTCCGGGTCCGGTACGGCGGAGGAGTCGTTCGCGCGCGCCCTCTCCGAGGGGTGCGGCGAGTGCGCGGACTTAGCGCGGCTGCGGGCCGAGCGAGACGCGCTCCTGACGCGGGCCGCGCAGCTCGAGGCGGCGGCGGCCCTGACGCCCCCCTCCCCCGCCCCCGGCCCCGCCACGGCCGCGCCCCTCGGCCGGCTGGACGCGACGCTCGAGACGCCGACGCGGCCCCCCCTAGTGCCGAGCCCCGACTCGAGGAAGTTCGCGGCGATTCTCCGCGAGAGCAATCCCGTCGAACTTCAGAGGCAGCTGCTCACGTCGACGGTGCAGAATCAGGTCGGTATATGATATTTTTGTTGTTTGTTTTATTTTTGTTTCCCTTGTGGCTAGGTTAGAGGCAAAGGCGAGTGAGGTAGCCGGGACCGGCTTTATTAAAAGGTGGCGACGCATCTGCAACCCTACGATTGTTACAAATGTCTATGGGTGTCGGTTATCAGATCCACCAGAAAGACTAGTTTCCATGGGCTTTTTAATACCCCAAAGGAATAAAAGATACAACAATTAGGTGTAATGGTCGTGTTTAGTACTTATCTGTATTACGTACTACTTCCCTAGATGACAGACGTCAGTGTATTTACATGTATGTACACACGAAGGCTGTACGAAAAATACGGAATCGTACTAAGTACGGTAGTTGACCTTTCTTTTCTGCATCTGTCCGTCGCATCGGCCGGGACACGGGACTATGAAGACAACCCCCGAGCTCCTGTTGCCTCTTAAGGTCTCTTCCCGGGTACTAGGTCACCCTGTCCGGTCATATTGTGCTGTGCCGATTCAATTAGCACAGCACTCCAGAGACCCCTATTGAGCGGCAGACACCCTCATGCCTGCCGCTATGGGAACCACAGCAGATATGATCGATAAAAATTCGCCCGTTACGGTTTCCTTTCAAATCGCCGTCTTAACTTATTTAGGAAGATTATTCGCAGGATGCTTACGACCAAAAAAGTTTATCCGTAGAGATTATAGATATCTAAGTCTTTTAACCGTTTCAAGGTCGACTGAGTCAGATTGGAGCGCACGTGGTCGCACGTGACTCGACAACAGCTGTCAACTGTTGCGATAATATTGTTATCCTCACAACACATATTAGTGTAATGTTTAGACACTAGACTAAGTCGAACTTTTAAGTGAGTCTACCTTTTATGCCTTAGCTACAAAATTAATTACCGAGAGAGACTTAACTACAAACGAATGTACCGCTTATCTCAACGGCGTAAGGTGCATGGGGCCCGGCGGCATGTGGTGGTCGAACTTCGCCGTTAAAAATAAGGGAAACATGTTTCAAATCATATCAAAACGTAAATACAATATCGCTCTATTATTAGGTACAGTCATTTCACATAATAACGCGTGCTTTCTTTTGTTTTATGTTAGAAAGTGGCAAACGAGCTGGCCGGTTCACCTGTTATATGATGCTACGTGTTTACCGCCGCCCATGAACATTTGCAACACCCGTAGGGTTGCAAATGCGTTGCCACCTCTAAATAAAGTGAGCCCCGGCTACCTCGCTCACCAGACGAAAAGCAGAAGTGTTACAATACTACTTTACGCGGGTCTTCTGTGAGGTCGTGGTACTTACCCGGACGGGCCTGCCCATTCGTGCAACAGCGAACACTGTTGCGTGGCACTACCACAGTCAAAGTTTTAAATAGCTTCCAGTGTGTTTTGCATTCGGTTCTGCATTTTGCAGTTCATCAGCTTCATCGACTGGACTTTGGACGCACGCGTATAAATACATTTTACACACAACACACACACACGCACATCACGTGGATAATTTACGGCCCACCAACCCAGAAGGTTTTCAGATTATGAAACGTGCATTCAATAAAACATAACATGCAAGCACACTGCTCGCCATTGTTTACCGCAATTTGCCTCTTATTGCCTCGTTAATGTTCCAAATGTGTTTATTTCACTAACGCCTGCTCGATCCCATCCGGCGTCGTGAGCGTTACGAAATCGAATCGCCTCGGCGAATCTTAACTACGACTCGTAATACGATTAGTGTACGCTCGTTTAATAGACACGTATATTGCAATATTGGTATGATATTGTAATAACGCGTTGAGAAAATGCTAAACCGTCTTAAATAGGAAAAGCATATTGTAATTTTAAGCGCTTCACTTAAAAGCCAACGAAAAAGTTATTATCTTCTACGATATTGATTTTAATTTTATTCGTCTATTTCTGGTATCACCACTAAATATGTTGTTCATGTTCAATAAAATTAGTTGACCATATGTTGAATAAATTCCTTAAAGTAAAAATTCTGCATATCTTTTTTTATATGTACTGTATAGGATGGTGGATGGCCTGGAGGATGCTGCTAGCAGTATACTGTTGAGATCTCAGCAGCAGAAGTTGTTGATCTTAATTGGGATAAAATCCTGTTTTCCAGGTGTATTGCGACCAGCTGAGACGTGCGGCAGAGCAAAAGACTCTTCTCCTGGAAAGACTCGAGCGCGCCACGGAGATTAATGATGACCTCAAATTCAGAGTGAGTTGAACGCACTTGTCGGGTTGTGGAAGATGGATTAGTCGATTTATGAAGAGGTTTAGTACAATATTTGCTAGCTTGAGAAAGACTATGATGCCGTTTTATTATTTCTTGTAAAATATGACGATAGTATATTATATAGTCTAGATATAGCGACTTCTGTTGGAAGGCCGCTGAACTATCTAATAATAATCTGATAACAACTGTGTAAACGACCCAACTAGTTAAAATATAAAAGGACAGATGGCGCTAGTCTTAAATCTTAATAGAAAATAATTGCGGCTGGACCGATTTGGCTAATTTTGGTTTTGAAATATTTGTGGCAGTCCAGGGAAGGTTTAAACGATGAGAAATTATGGAAAATGGAAATAGCAACAATTTTATTTTCCCGTACAAACTGTTCCTACACGCTAACATTTTATGGGTGCGTTCCGAAAATCCCTTCTCTTAAAAAAAAAAAAAAAGAATGTGTTCTGATTCACAAATTCTTCATGTGGCAAAACAACGTTTTCCGGGTCAGCTGGTAACAAAAAAAATATATAATACGTGAAGTCTGCGAGTCCGCAGCGGGGTCGCGTGTAATACCCTCTGTACGGAGGAGGCCTTCTCCCAGCAGTGGGACATCTGCAGGCCGTTGCCTCACGTCTATTTGCGAATTCCACAGCTCGAGGAGCAGGGCGTCGAGCTGGAGGCGGCGAGGGCGCGCCTCCGCGAGCTCGACGCGCGGCGCTGCGCCGGCGACAGCCTCGAGAGGAGCCGCGACGCGCACAGCAGCATGCGCGACATGGAGCCGCTGCACATGCCCGAGAGCGAGACGCCGCGCCGCCGCCCCAGCCGCATACCGCTGCACACCGCCAACAAGGGCGCCGCCCCGCGCCCCCCCTCCGCCCACTCGGCGCGCTCGGCGCGCTCGGCGTGCTCGGCGAGGGCGCCCCGCGCGCCCCGCGACGCCCCCGCGCCCCGCAAGGAGGCCAAGCCCCCCCCGACGCTGCGCCGCTCGCCCCCCAACGAAAAGGTTCGCTCCAGGTCGTTCTGGAACACGATATTCCTGTTCAAGGACTCGTAGGGCCGCGCCGCGAACCGATTAACACAACACTACCCCTGCCCCCGATCCAAAAGTGCTAATCAAACCCCTAATAAGAACCCACCGTGTGACAGTGCACCCAGTGATACACTAACGAGTGTCCGGTGTCGGTCGTCGCTCGCGAGATGTCGCCCAAGCCGGGGCGCCCCCGCTATGCCATTATGTCGATCGTAAGTTTGCGTTTTTGATTTTTTTTTGTTTTCTCTATCTGTATCGATCCGTTTTATGATTTTTGATATGAGTTGTGACGTTTCATTTGGTCATTGACATTGACGGTTTGCGTTTTGAACGGTCACTTGTTTAACCCGAGTCAGCTGTAGTGTTATTCTCTGTAGATTAGTTTATACTTCACCACTTTATGATTCATGGGATAACCCGTTAGAAGAGAAAAGTTTTCTGAATAATACAATTGGTTTTATTCTATTAATATTGAATATTTTGGTTAAGGGAAATAGAAGAATGCCAAAGTATCTCCCTTCTAAAAGCTGGGTCATCCCATGATTTCTTTCGAAACTATCGATCGATCTTGTTGTAAGCGAGCATGATGTATAATTTTTATGTTTGTAACTAATTATAACTGTGTTGGCTTCAATGTTTTATTTTTCAATGTTTAATCAACATCCATATCATGTCACATACAATAATAATATCATTTAACAGAAACAACCAAAGCTTGACATAAATTTAATAATGTAATGTAAATAAAAATTATAGAATTGAATAATAGAAATGAAAAAAAAAATTTAGCGCTAAACGTATATACTTTTATTTTAAACTTGGTGATATATATTAAAGAAATATATATTTAATATATATATATTAAAATAAAGAAATATTTACAACATATGATATCATAAGTGTAGAATGTAATGAACTTTTTTGTAAGTTTCTTCTCATTGCCAATAAATGGCATGAGCTATGGAGATGTTATGTTATAAGTTATTTTTAGTGCTGATTGCTAATTAAACTTCGTTCATAAATATATGTCTTTTCAGTGTATTCTGACACTACTGAATTTGTAACATGTGAAGAAAATTTCAAGCTTTACTGTAAATTGTTATAAATATCATCATAATCATTTTAAAATCCATTGTTTTACATTTTAACTCAATACCAATACAGTAAATATGTTGTAAAAAAATGCTACTGATTAGTAACTAAAACGAAACTTATTTCTGTTTGTTTATTTCACTCATTTGTAACAATTTTAGTTTAGTTTCAACTTCATTATTTTAATAAGCATTTATTTACGCTTGTTCTAAATCACATTGTTATGGCCTAATTATTAAATTATCTTACTTTCTCTATTCACATTTTTTTTGTTAATGCATCATTATGTATAAGCACTGTTTGAATCATGCCTTTAATTTGATCTTCATCAGTATTTACAAGTTATTTTATTTTTCATTTCCATTTTATGATGTATTCTAGAATTACATTTTATTAACTCAAACTACATACAAAAATGTCAGTTAATAAAACATAGCAAACACTACTGAATATCTGTGTATTATATTAAGTGAGAATTTGTACTAAATTATTGTAAACGACGGTAAGTTTCCTTGTATCACTGCCACTATCACAAGACACGTTAATATAGGGAGAAGCAAGTAGACTGTAGATTTGATATGTTTTTTTTATTTCATATCAACTTTTTTTTATTTATTGTTTAATTTTCTTTTAATTTCTAAAATGTTGTTTTGGTTTTATTGACATAGTGGCATAACAACAAATACAATTGGCTAAACACAGAGCTAAATTTACTGTACACTGCTATGCACCAAACAAGTTATAATCACCACTAGGCGTTAGCGCGTTTTATCAACTTTTGTTTCACGGTAATCGAAAGAAGGATATGCAAATGTTTTGTTTTAAAAGCATTTAAAAACAATGTTGTGTTAGAAATTTCAAACATGTCATTCATAAATTATTTTAATGCCATGGAATGATTATGCACGTGATCTTGAATGTTTGCTGTAATGAATCCGTTTGAAATCATAATCATGGGTGTGAAAATGAAGTAAAAACTAAACCCCTTGATGAATTTTTATACAGAACCGCACATGGTAATGATAACACGTTCAATGTAATTTTTCAATAAATTGTGATGTTTAATGAGTTTAAAATAACATTGAACCAACAAATTATTTTATATTATAAATGATTGTTGCATTATAAAAAAAGATACTTTTAGCCGTAATGTTTGTATTATTTATATATTTATTTTTTCACAGAAATTGTAATCATGGAAGTGACTAAACAATTATTTATGTATATTTATACAGATTTTTACAAAAAAAATGTGTAGCGATTTACTCAACCAATCTTTGTATAAGAGGTTACAGGATACTAATTTTAATACACTAATTACTTGATGTTTTAACTGACACGAGTTTATGACTCCAATATTCTTTTGTTTAACTGTTCATCTTTCGACGACCTATTTGACGTCGTAGACTATGGGCTAACTTCATAAGAAACTAAATTACATCTACATCGTAAAATGGTTAAAACACAGTTTGTCATACTCTGATCTAGAAGAAGGCTTTCACGTCTCCCAATCTAGATGCAACTTTTTAAAGTATTTTTTTTATGAAATTTAGAAATTTAATCGCTTTATTTTTCAATTTTATTGTAAAAAATTTGAGAATCCAAAAATCGATATTCGAACCACTTCAAACTTAATAGTAATTGGCTTAAATCCACGCCTATCATCGCCATTCACCCTTCATTCACAACGGATATTGAAGACAGTATTATAATTCGAATTAACGATTTACAAATACTAATGCTGTTCGCTTGCCTTCTCTAACTTTCAATTGCATGGAGCGCATTTGGCCGATCAGAACTTGAGACGAACCGATTCGACTCACCCATGTTCGTCCGCACCGTGGCTCGGTCGCGTCTCAACCGCTCTCGTGGCCCCGCAGCTGCGCCGCGGCGACGAGCTCGTCGCCGAGTATGTCGCGCGCGCCGAGCGGCTCGCTCCTCTCTTCCCGCGGCTGCACACGGTGCGCGCGCGGCCGCTGCCCGAGTGCCGGCTCGGCTACGAGCACTCGCCCAACCTCGCCCTGGAGCTCAGCAGGTCGATGCTGTACGAGCCCGGCGACTCGGTCGAGTCGGCGGGCGGCGACTCCCTGTGGAACGGGCGGCCGCAGCAGTACTTCGAGAGCATGAACTACGGGAAGGGCGGCGACGGGCCGACGGACGACCCGCCCGAGCGGGACTTCGAGAGCGACTCGCTGGCGCAGTGATCGCACCGCATCCCCGCACGCGCTTGTGTTAGTGTGATTGCCCTGTACATCTCGATCGGTGGTTTAATATTGAGAATGTGATCCAATTCAAGTCTTGGGTCAGGTCCGCACCTTCCCAAGGCTTCCAAGTCTTTTTTCTTTATCATAAATTTAAACGACGATATTTGGCTATAATTACAGATCGAAAATCAATTATTTTGAATTATTTTGTGTTCGATAGCTGGTAAAAGACCTGACTCAAAACTGATCTGATCCAACCAACAATGTAACGGATGAAATAAATTAGCCAAATTTGAAGCAAATCCGAATCTATGTTTTCGTGTCCGAGAAGTTCGTCGTTCAATTGAATGTTGTACACGTATTAGGGTAACATAGAATTTTTTTTACCATGTAATCAAATATATTAAGGAAAATTTGACTATTGAATGTAACGTCTAAGGGCCATACTTCTTGGTTGAATCCTAAAAATATTATCCAATTTCTAAAGTGTTTGTTAATCATTCCCGTTCCGAAATGTCTCGAACAATCTGTGATAATGTCACATTTGAATTGTGGTACAAGTGGTTGTTTCATTTCTTAAGATATATATCCTTATGTAAACATTCACTAGTGACGAAATACTTATATAAAACTTTATTATATTGTATGATACACGATTTAGTATTGCAGAACTTAATTATCATTATCTCTAATTTCAATTTATATATTTGCATGAATCGACTAAGTAGTGCTTTCTAAATGAAGAACTGTTAGAATGTTTATTCAGTCTACAGAGGAGATATTGTAAAATGGTAGCTATTTACTTTAATGTTGTCATTCCTAAGCCGATATGGGCAGACTGTAATTTATATACATGTATTGAGTGAGAGCTTGCATGACTGCAGTAAGGCTGTGAAACGTGAAGTGTCGTGGGATTCCTTTAAGGATCGAATATACACCTGGTTGTTACTTAGCTCATTATTACCAACTTTGTACTACTTAGTAGCAACTGTGACAAGTTTCCATTAAGTTCACTATTTGTATTGTCCGAACGTCCAGTAAAACGTCCTAAGACGGAGTCGTGTGACTGCTTGAGTTGTAAGGTTTATTGGGAATAAATTAGCCATTATATATAACACATTTTCAACAGAGCTCGGTTACAAATAGTAGGAGACTGATTTTGTATTTTAAAGACATAGTGATATGCTTACCAAGGTAGGGGACTCTCCATTAAGCCCGTATTGTATTTTTTATTTGTAATTATATGTTAAGATGTTTCTTATTATGTAAAAATATCGCCTGTACTAAGGTTCTAACTATAATTTTTAGCATTATTTTATTCCAATTCTAGGGTACGACTGTATTTTATGTAAATTAAAATTAAGTAGATGAAAAATGTAAACTATTAATTAATTATGTAATGGTATTGTACAGCTTCTTTCCACGCTGCTAGAGTTTGTAAATTATTAAGCAACTCCTATCTAAAATTAAGATACTCAATTAATATATCTAGTTGACTTGAATCTAGTTGATCGCCTATGTAAAGTTGTACAGAAATCATATCATTACTATACAAATTACTCAAATAAATTGTTCATATCAATATTCGAATTTTATTCTTAAATAGCTAAAAGGAATCGTTCGTCGATTGACTTCCGTCGCAACTAGCCTTAGGAAAGTGTTTCAAATAAAATGCTTAACTCATGTGAAGCTTACATGTAGACATTGAAAATATTTACTTATTATCTGTTTATACGGGCAGACTAGGCGATGCAAAAAGCAGTTCTATTAATTTATTAATAGAAACATCTCTAAATGTTAACTAAAAGTATGGTAGCCTCAGTCCTTCCAAAACGTTAACAAATAAAACAGCAAGGCGTTCTAATGAAGATAATTGTATTATCTCAATAACACTTAAATGCGTTGTTAGAAAATTAAAAGTATTATAAACATCAACATAAATATGAACAAAATCTTAGTAACAAAACAAAACAACTTATTCAAAACAGCGGGTACAAATATCAGAGTATTAAAACTACTACAAAATAACGGAGTTATTAAACGTAAATTATTTGGCCTGTTCGAACTTCGGTCCCAAGGCGATGTCGACTATTTGCAACGTCTCCGGATCTTTGCGCACATGGATGAAGCCGTGCTGTTTCAATTCTGTACACAGATAAATTGAAGTCTATAAATTAATATTATTTATAAATTTGCCCAAAGTGAAACAGACTAAGGGCGGCCTAGCTCGGTGACATCATTCGCACTTAAAATTGAATTACATATTTCATTTGTAAAATTAATCTTAGATATTGAGATGATCATGGTCTTAAGATACCCATTTAAAAACTAAAAGAACTTAATTCATTTCGGTTAAATTTATTCAAGTGTGTGTTCGAGATTGATAATTTTATGAACACCACATTATCTCAACGAACTTACTGAGGACCGAGGTAAAACAACGGGCTGCTATGATGCTGCGGCAACCTGGTATCACAGGACCCTTTGCGACGAGAGTCCTCACGTCCAGGGGCTTCATGCCCGCTTTGACGCCGTTCAGGATCTTCACCATGGTCGCTTCAGTTCCCCATTGGTCGCTACGGATAAAAATTAAAATTGTTACGTAAAGTCGACCCTTTCGAAGTTATAACGTGCATATGTTATATGTGCATACACAAGATATAAGGATTAATCATTCAACTTAGGTTCTCATTTACCTGACTATACATATTGATTATGTAATTATATAAAATTACTACTTCTGTATAAGATGTTCTTTACAAAAAAAATGTAATATATTATATGCTGAAAAATCTCTCACTCGTGAAATTATATCTCTATTTATTATGTAATCGGCCTTAAAAATCGTGGGGAAACTTGAATTTAAATGTTCTTTGGAGATATGCGGGGCCTACCTATTCGCACTGGCGTAGCGAGACGTATGGGCTCGCCCAGAAGTGGGACATACAGGCAGTTACTTTACCATATTTTCAATTCATTTAATAAATTAGGTTGTGAATGTGTGTGTGTTAATGTCAATATGAAATATTTTGTGCCATGTTGTTAGGGGCTTAATCGACCAACGCTCGGTATTAAATTTTATCATAATAATCATTTTTCAACTGCTCACCGTATAAACCGCTTAGACTGTGTGGACCTCTCGAAGCCCTCTGCGACACCTTAGTTCTACGTTTCAACAGCTCGTCGTAAAAACCACAGTAGTCAGTGGACCTCTCGGAGTCCCCAACGACACCTTTGTTCTTGTGGACCTCGGCTGCTTCGCTTACCAGGCGATAACTATAACACCTGTGTGTGTGTACAATTGGTCCCCTGCGAGGCGCTCTGGTTATGGTTATGGTTCGCTCACCGTATGTACCTCCTGGAGTCCCCTAGCGACACCTTGGTTCTGTTCTTGTGGACCTCAGGTGCTTCGCTTACCAGCGATAACTATAACACCTGTGTGTGTGTACAATTGGTCCCCTGCGAGGCGCTCTGGTTATGGTTATGGTTCGCTCACCGTATGAACCTCCTGGAGTCGGTGCTCCTCTCGGAGTCCCCGAGCGACACCTTGGTCCTGTCGAGGCTGCCCAGCGGCGTCTCCGTGGAGCCGCTGCCCCCCCTCCCGCCCCTCGCCGCAGTAGGCTCCTGTACATCCGCCAGGCCCAGCGCGTGCAGCATCGCCCCCACATCGCCGCCCCCGCCCGGCCGCTGCTCGTTCCGCGGCACGTTCTCCTTGTCGGCCTCTGAAACGGAGAGAAGTTAAATATGTGATACCTCGAGTTTAATATCATATATTGCTTTGACTCTCACGACACACACAGTCTGATAGATATACAGTAGCGAAGGAAGCGAAGATGGATGAAAGATTAACAGGCGCAAAGAAAGGAGCAAATGATAAATGCGAGTATGAGCAGCGCGTGTGCAAGCGAAGTCGGCCTGATGTTAAGTGACAACCGACGGCATTCGTGCTTTTTTTATTCGAGAACGTGGCAAGCGAAGTTCACCTTGTTAAGCGATAACCATTGACTTTCGCAGCACCCGTAGCGATTCATATACGTTATTATATAGTAGCTACCGGCTACCTCTATTAATTCTTGTGTGTTTCGTCTGGTGAGCGCACCAGTATAACACCTCCACTACACCCCGATCTTCTGTGTGGTCCACATACTTACCCGGACGTACCCGCCTATTCGTGCATCATTGTAAAATTTTGCGTTGTCCCACCACGTTAATAATTACTTGTGAGCGACGTTAACGACGACCTGACTGTCGTCGTGGATTATACATGTCTATTACGCCAGGGGGTGTGGGTTCGATCTCGAAACTGTCGTGTTACTCCTCAAATTCGATTCGAATTTGTTTTTGTTTTCGATTCGAACTCACTCTTGATTCGAACTCGATTTGAAAATCTTACTCCCGAACCGAATCGAAACTAGAAACAAAACCGTGCGTTATCAAATCCGTTAACTGTATCATGCCTATTACGTCACAGACAAATGTTCCATGTTTACGGTTATAACATCTTTAATAAAAAATAAAAAATTAATTGTTGTAATAAAATATTAATTGCTTAATGTTTTTCGAAATATTATCCGATCTTAGTTAATTCCAATTAGAGCCACTACTCGATTGTGCGCTGGCATCAGATTCAGTGGTACGAACTGCCACGAATTCGAGTCAAATTCGATTGATTCAGAACTCGAACCTGTCGGGAGTAGGCAGCCTGGACCAAGCTATTGGCTTTGGCATCGGGGGTCGTGGGTTCGATTCCCACACGGGACAACTATTTGTGCCACCCACAGACGGTTGTCTTGATTTTGTATAAATCATAATGTCATACCAAAGTAAGGGCAATATTTAAAAAAATAAATAAAAAGCAAAAAAACAAAATTCAGCTTGTCGATTAATTCATCAGTGTTTCTCTATCGTTTTAAATTTATTTTAATTGAATTAAGCCAACGTCAGTGTCCTTTACCATTAAAATTCTTTTTATTTCTGGACAAAGATATTAAAAAAACAAAGATATTCAAAAGATATTAAAAGAAAAGAGAGATTTATCGCTTGGTTTTTTATTTAAGTAAATTAAATTTTAGTATTCGGAGAGATGTTTAGTACCTTGCGCAGGGATAGAAGCCTCTAGAAGCAACTGCTGGCTCTGTTTGAACGAGACGTAGCCGATTGTGCGACGCCTTTTTGTCTGAAACATTATATTAATATTATTCTATAAATTATTTTTATTTTAAATTGATTAAAAAAAATGTAATACCGAGCTGATTAAACATGCATTATAACAAATTTGCAGTCGTATTGAGGGACTTGCGTAGTGTAAGCCTAGAAACCTCTTAACATTAACAGATTGAAAAAATCTTTTTATTCAGTGGCCTATCAAAATCGTAGCATAAATATGAAAAAAATAGCGAAATAGTGAAAAAATAATTTTCTAATATCAAACTGCGGTCACTTTGCCAACATTGGCAAATGTGGGCCCCGGTTACCTCACTTGTCAGACCAAAGTACAACATTTGCCCTACCACAATCTATATAATATTATAGAGTTCTGCCGTTGTGCGCGTATCAAGAAAATACTACTAGATAGATTACAATTAAGTCCTTTAACTTTTGTTTATTAGACACTTAGCCCTTATCTCAACAAATATTCTGATATCTTCATTTAATGTAAAGTTATTAAAGTTTTAAGAAGCAACAATTTTTCTCAGCGCTTTTCTTTCATTGTTTTGGGGAAGTGGGGTAAGCGGTGTAGTTGTCAATATGATAAGCAACGCAGAAGTCGCGGTTATCAGCTAGTAGGTAATATAAACAGCAATCATATTAAGCAATATCTATGCGTGTCTTACTTAAGCATTCACACCTTCTACTTTTTTAAAGAAAAAATTACCCTTACTGTCGTATAATTATCCTGCGTAAGTATATTTACATACATAAATTTCACGTGGACAACCACCCAGATCCGAAACAATTATACGTGGGCCACACAAATAGTTGTCCGTGCCGGAATCAAACCTACGACCCGCGCCGTCGAAGCCAACACAAGGCCAAGGCCATCATGGTAAATTAACTTTATCACATCTGTGAGATCAAACATACATATGTATACAAATTACAAGCTAACTAGACGATAAACAAAATTGATGACGTACAAATTGTTCACTGTCGCTCGCGCGTTTTCTCGCTTGCGACAAAGTATCGACGACTTGAGTCGGTAGTTCGGCGATATCGATGTTCTCCTCCACTCGCGCTTTCGTCACATCAAGTCCCCCTTCTCCCTCCATCTCTTTCTGCGTCTCAACTCGGGGCGCAATCTCCTCTATCTCCTCTTCTATCCTCTCCAGTTGCGAGCGCGAATGCACCCGCGTGGCCGCCTTCGTGACAGCTTCCTGTCAATGAAATGAAAATGTAGCGGGAGATATTTTCCCGATATGCGACAGCCGACAAGCCTGTTGCCGTTTACAATACACTGCCTTATCAGAAGCCGTATTCGTTTATCTATATTACAAAGATTTACCTGTGGAAATTAACGTACATAAAGCACACGTACACGTGAAAATGTTTACAATTTTACAAGAAAATAAATTGCATATAATTATATATAAAACATATTTTTAATGTAATTAAATAAATATATTTTATATGTATTAAATATATTTTTTAAATATATACCTGCGTAGTATTACGGAGTGAACAAATATTTATCGTGAAATACCAGATGGTTGAAATCGTTTTCGTTAAAAGTTCCCACCCGAACTTATTTTATGTATTACTTAATGATTACCAAGTTACAAGAGTAACAAGAGTAAATCTAAGAATGTTCTTCAAATATAAACAAAAGTCCATAACTTTATATGTCAAATAGAAAGCCATACTTCACTAGTTTTATTTATACATCTGATATATTAAATAAATGTTTTTTTACGTAATTATAAAGACATCCCATTTTCCATTCCGTTTCATAGTGCAAAGTACCTTGGTTCCTTATATAGTAGAAAAAGAACTACCATCATTCTGCATGAACACATGCTACAAGAGGCTTAGTTATCCCTTCTTTTGTCTGTCTGTATGTATATCTATCTAAACTTTTAAACGAACGGACCTATAATGGTGCGCCTTTTTTTAACTAGAGTACTATTGAGTCAGTCAATAAAAATGTACAATTTTATATATATAAATTTACGTAGGTAGTTGTTTATTTTGCTATAACTCGAGTATTTTTGATAGTTAAAATGTACAAATTCATATTATTTACGTAGGCAGTCACGAGAAATGTTACCTCCAATTGCCTGTCGGCCAACGGCGTTCCGCCGCCGACCGCTAGATTCCTCGAGAACATCCAGGAGAGAACCCGGGACAGGCTGGAGCGGAGCCCCTGGCCGCCATGCGCGGGCCGCCCGAAGTACGTGACGGCCGGTACGCGGATTCTCACCACATCATCCGCACTGGCCTATTCACGGAATCGCTATTTTCACCGACTTTCGATCGATATTAATATAGCCTTATTGATAAAACTAAAAAATGATATAAACTGAACTATTTATTCGTCTGTTCCGCGACTATGAACGGTGAAAAGGATTCGAAACGGCGGTAAAAAAAAATAAACGCGATAAATCGCAGTTTTTTGAAATGTGTAATCACGTAAATATAAGAAATGATCTATAATGTAGGAGGTTTTAAAATTGGAGCGTGCTCTCTACACTGGATAGTCAGACGAAACATAAATTGTCGACGGAAGACGGTAATTGTAAATTAATTGTTATCGAAATATACAATATTCATATAGGTATGTACTATGTTTATTTAATTAAAAAGTTTTGAAGGCAAATTTATAAAAATAAAAATGATTTGTAATTTTCGTTTCAAGTTCTCACTAATAAATCTTTTCTATTATTTTTATATTCTTATGTATATCGGTTTGTATTGCTATTAACAATGCTAACTTACCTGTATTTATTTTTAAGCTAGTTTTAGTCAGATTTCACGGTTAATTGTTCCATCTATACTTAATATTATGTTATAACAACAATACTTAAAATTATAACATAAATAAACTTTGGTTTAAAAATTGAACACAATTTGAGAATGAAATTTATTCCCGGTTAATCCGAATCCTTTACTTTGAATGCTGTTCTTTTTCGTGTTTAACTCTCATGGTCAATTTTAATAATGATTATTAGTTTTTTTAAGGGAAAACTTCTTTATATCTATCTTGATATAATTATCATATAAAATAAATTTTATGAGTCATTTAGAAAAACCAATTCTTTACATTTTATTAAATTGTTAGATATATATATATATATATATATATATATATATATATATATATATATATATATATATATATATATATACAGCGTGTCGTTACCATCGCGACAATAAATGAACACACATATAGGGGATAACTTTTTAAAGTTGTATTAAACATTTAAATTCTTTAAACATCAATATTTACAGAGTTATTAAATTTTCCAAAACAAAGAATTTTAGAACACCCTTACCTATAAAAGCGTAACGTAAAGTTCATTTGTAAAGGTCACAAAGCATATGAATGGGTTGGATGAATTTAAAAGAGACAAAACATACTGTTAGAAGGAGAGGCTTGTAATGCGACGCTATGACGCGAGTTGTATAGGATGTTACAAATTTTGTTTCTTTTTTACTTAATTAGTTTGTTTGAAAAATATTTTTTTAAAATTATGGATTTTGTTTAACGTTAATATTTTTTTATGTTATTGGCAAGTAGCGTTAGACGTGTGTTCATTTATTGTCGCGATGGTAACGACACGCTGTATATATATAAATTCCTTTGTAGTACAATTCCACACTAATTCTTTAAATTTAATTAAATCGTTAGGCATATTATATAAATTTCTATGTAGTACAGTTTCTATAATTATCTTTCTTAAATATGGGACTATCAGGAATTCAATTCAAAATAGTCATTCCTGCCAATCTTGGTTCTGGCTGCTGTATACTCTTCAACAGTACAATATGCATATTTATAGAGATGTAACGACATCAAGTTGCTCCAGCAGTGCATATTCGTGACTTCCCGTAGTTATAAATGCCAATTTGTGGTCATTGGATTCTATAAACAACAAGTATTACAAGCTATTACAAGTTATTACAGATTCCGCCTCAGCAATCTTATGATCTTTGCGATTTCCGCTTCCTTTATTACGTGAGTAATAACTCGTAATACGTTACATTGCAATTAGTTCGACGTCGAACTAGTTTGGGCGTTGTTAACGACTTTCTTAATTATGTTCTGAGATAATTGTAGAAAAATAATATCGCGGGTACTTTCATTTCACATTTTTTATGTTATCAAGTTCTCCTATAAGTTCCATTTTGATTTATTTTATTATGGTCAAAAAATCAAACCATAATAGGTTTTTATTAAATGTGGCTAGTTTATGTATTAGGTAATTTAGTTTTGCGATTTATTTGTCGGGGAAAATTGAATGGACGTTATCAATCTATACATATTATAATATATAAGATATAATATATATAAGAGATCTCCACCGATAATTGACTCATCACGATATCTCTGGAACCATAAGGCGTACTTGAAAGGCCAACTTGAAATTTGGTAGAAATATTCCTTTCGCGGAGTAGAGGTCAGCTAAGAACGGATTTTACGAAATTCCACAAAACAACATTTGCCGTATCAACTAGTATGTATGTACAAGTGTGTCAGATGTACTAATGATGGGCGTAGTCGGTGGTGGTTTTGGGGGTTAAGCCCTCCCTAGAAATATCTATAATATTCGAATAATTTGTAATTTATACATTTTTTTCTATTACATTATTAATTTCTCAAAAACGTGAACAGACTTTATCAATATAAAAAATTATTCAAAAAATCTAAATATTTTTTTTATTATTACTACTTGGTTTTATTCCTTGGTTTTGTATGTTACATTTTTGTTTTTTCGGATATTAAAAATAAATTATAGGTTTTGTTTATCTCCTTAGAATTGACGACGGGTCCGCTTTTAAATGTCGCTCTTATTAATTTTATTTTGTAAAGTGTACCAAGTGTAAAGTGTACCTGTATAATATAAGTACCTTATATTTTGTACGATTGCGATCGTGTCTTTGAAACTTGAGAAGCAAGATTTATACTTTTATATTCCATATATTATATTTTTTTATCATAAACCAACTGTAATGTCGCTGAATGCATAAATTCGTAAATTTCATCACAATAATCACCATCTTTATAATATCTTTAATAATATTGAAGAAGTCTTTAATAATATCTGATCCTGTCTTAAAAATCTTTTACATCTGTTCTTACATCCGCACTCATAGACAATTATTAATCCTTAAATAGAATTAATGCCTAAATTTCTTATTTCATTGCGGAGCTAAGAGAGCGAGGCGGTTTAAATTAATGTAATTTATTTGTTATTTTGTTTATTAACATGACGAGGGTGACATAATCTGTTAAGACTAAACGATTTTTAATAATAAAGAGAAAAAAAATCGATAACAGGGATTCAAAGCCGGGATCTTTTTACCCGATTGAACCCTTTTTAAAAATAATAAAAAACGTTCGATAGCGCGGATTCGAAGCCTGAAGAATTTACCTGATTGACCCCTTTTTAAGAATGAGAAAAAAAAATATTCGATAGCGGGGATTTGAAGACGGGGAACTTTACCTGATTGAAACCTTTTTAAAAATTAGAAAAAAAATATCCAATAGCGCGGATTCGAAGCCGGGACTTTTACCTGGCAGCGCTGGTGGATGTTGGGACAGGCCAGTCGGGCGCGGAACTGGCGCGCGTCCAGCTTGCAGCGGCTGTCCACCACCAGGCGGCGGTTCCTCCTGACCCTCGCGCCAACCACCTCGGGCTCCAACTCCTGGCGCGGATGGAGGGGTCCAACTTTATAACCGCAAATGGTATACTCAACTAACGCCAATAGACTCAATAGAGTAAGTAACTCGTTCATGGCGCGCTGTATACGCTTCTACAACAAAATCTCAGTGAAAGCGCAAAGCCTTCCTATTAACAGGTCTAAGAAATTTATTAAAGAAAAACTTTTTAAAAACGGTTATTGTAATATAAATTAAAACATTAACGATACTAGTCCCTGGGAATGAGATGATCGCTCCCAAGCTGTTTCTAAAAGAAAAAAATAGTTGTTTAAAGACGTTATGTGAAATCCGCCAATTCGCAGTTGGGCCTCGTGGTGGACTATGCCCTGATACCCTCTGTACATGAGAGCCTTTGCCCAGCAGTGGGTTACTTTACCTTTTTACAGCCTGGTCTATTCTTATACACGAATTAAACATACATATTCTCACCGCAAAGGCTGAGCGGAGTCTAATAAAATTCTGTTTAAGCTCGTGAAAATTAAACTATTTGTACACTTGTTCTATTTTCTTAAAATGAAATTTGCTAAATAAAATGTTAAAAAAAAAAACCTCCTATTTTTACCTCTAAAACGATCTCCTCTTCGGCCTTTCGTTTTTTAGCTACGCTTGTCGTATCCTTTAGCGGTTGTAGTTCAGTTGCTGTTTCATCGTGCCTGCAAAGCGCGGCTACGTCAAAAGCGAGTTACAGATAACATTATGGCGCTTACCTTAGAACATTACTTGTGCGTAGAGAGCGGAGGGAAATGTTAGCGGAGTGGTAAAAATTAATGGTTTCAAACACTAACGGCATCGGAGGAGCGTTCGGGTCGGGAGGCGGGATTTCGGGGATTTCGGGGATATCTGCGTACATTAAATAAGTTGTTATATCGGTATAAAGGAAATTGCTCAATGAACATATTTTATAGTTGTAATTATTTCAGAACGAACCTTTTTGAAGGTCTTCTATTTGAACGAGCCCCATTTCAACGGCTAGAATGAAAAATTAAATAATTAAGTCAATATGCGTTATAGTTTATTTATACGTTTCATTTATTCATTCCTGATTATTCTATTTATAAAGTAAATCGATTTAAACTTATAAATAATACCGTCTGTACAGAGGAGGCCTTTGTCCAGCAGTAGGACATAGACTGTTACGTTACTTTTTTACTTTTATAAAGTAAGTTTAACATTTAAATTTTTTATAGTGCTAATGTCTGAACGGCTGATTGGCATACCGACGAAAATCTTAACGTCTTTTATCTAAATTGTTTTTTAGCATTCTAAGCAATTAGGTCAGTGGCTAGAGCGTCAGGCCGCGAATGCTGCAGACGTGGGTTCGATTTCCAAGGCGGCGACAATCTTTTCGTACTTTTTCTACAAATTTAAAGTTTAACATTGATATAATTACGATAATCAACAGCAACATTAGTATTAATGTGTCCAGGAAGTATCAGACAATGTATGTCCCACTGCTGGACAAAGGGCTTCTCTGTAGGGTGCAAGGACATACTCTATGACATCCCACGCCGATTGGCAGGCTTACTTATTTATTTATTCATTAATCATAATAGTCTTTAATGGAATCTAGGACATGAAAGGATCTAATGCCGTAGTTTGCGATAATGCGATAGTCTAATACGATAGTTTGAGGTCGTTCAGTGTGCGCAGTCTATCAATAAAATCAAAATCTATATATATATAGGTTCGTAAGGTACCACCGGTTCGGTATGCAGTTTCTGTTGAGAAGAGACCGGCAAGAAACTCAACATTTGCTCTTTTTCAAAAATATCAGAATATATATTCTAAATATATTCTAAATATAACATACAGGTATAAAAGTCTTATTCTAGCCTACGTGAGTATCAACAGCATTAACTCCACACATTGGCGTCATTGAGATATTCCGCAATGGTATACAGCGTGTCGTTACCATCGCGACAATAAATGAACACACGTCTAACGCTACTTGCCAATAATCATAAAAAAAATTTACGTTAAACAAACTCCATAAATAAAAAAAAAATTTCAAACAAAGTAATTAAGTAAAAAAGAAACAAAATTTGCAACATCCTATACAACTCGCGTCACAGCGTCGGATTACAAGCCTCTCCTTCTAACAGTATGTTTTTTCTCTTTTAAATTCATTCAACCCATTCATATGCTTTGTGACCTTTACAAATGAACTTTACGTTACGCTTTTATAGGTAAGGGTGTTCTAAAATTCTTTGTTTTGGAAAATTTTATATCTCTTTAAATATTGATGTTTAAAGAATTTAAATGTTTAATACAACTTTAAAAAATGTTAAAAAAAAATAAGTTGACTTTTAACTTTACGTTTAAATTGATCAAGCGGCAGACTTAATATCTAACTTATTTAACTCGATGAATTCGACCATAATTAATGTAAATTATAAGTTTAAACAATATTAATCAATTCCCAAATACAATACATAATAAACAAAAGAGTGTTTATGCTTGTGTGTGTCAAATACGTGGTGGTGTGTGTAATTTTTTCTATATTGATTTAATATATTTTTTATTCATAAATAAAAAAAAAAAATTCTATTGGGACGTACACTTGTTGAACATGGTTATGTCGTGTTCAGAGATCCTCTCCATTAGGGCGGCGTCGTGCGACGCCAGTCTGGTCCTGTCGTGCGACAAGTTGTGCGACAAGCTGTGCGACAAGTTGTGCGACAGGTTGTGCGACAGATCCGTCGGCACGTCGAGCCGGCCTGCCCTCATCGCCTCCACGCTTCGGTCGCCGAACTGGCCTTCGCGCATCTCACCGAACCCATCCTGCGTTGGATTCGCGAAAACGAGGTTCAGCCCTGCTGTCTCGGGCTTATGTAATAAAGGGCGAAGGTACTCCCTGTCGTAAAAGGCCACTAATACCCGGTTCCTATATTCAACGAACGGCCGTTAGTTACCTACATAGCTTCGTAACTATCATAACGACTTGTAGATAAAAGGCGTGTACGCCCCGGTTCCTATATTAACAAAACGATCCGTTGCATTACCTACGGAAAGTGAGTTACTAGCGCAACTTTAATCTACAAATCATTGACAGTTACGAAGCTATGTAAGTAACGGTCGTTCGTTGAAGGTAAGAACCGGGCATAAAAGGGGACACGGATTGGCAGCAGCTTGAAGCGGTTTCAAACTGCTGCAAGATGATGATGAAGAAATCGGGGAAGGTCTATCCTTCTCCGAGGCGTGCTCACACCCAAGGGGGTTTTTGTTTGTCCCTGTCATTTTGAAGAACCCCCCCCCCCCCTCTCGATACCGAAAAAAAAAAAAAGATAAGGCGTTGAGACTTACGCGCGGTGAGGAACAGATTTGAGAACATAATGCAGAGGATGTTGGGTAGGACCATGCGGCATCTTCGGCTGTTGCACGAATGGGCAGCTCCATCTGGGTAAATGCCACGACCTCACAGAAGACCGACGTGAAGTGGAAGTGTCATAATTCTGCCTTTCGTCTGGTTAGTGAGGTAGCCGGGGCCCACTTTACAAAAGGTGGCAACGCATCTGCAATCTACGGGTGTTGCATATGCCCATGGACGGCGGTTATCACTTAACATATACATAACCTAACCGCCAGGTCACTTGCTACCTTCTCACAAAAAAAAATATAATTCATACAGATAAATAAAATTGGAGTGTATGTTATAGCCGGTTCTCTGTGAGACCTAGTACTCATCCGGGCGAGTCTACTCATTCGTAAAACATTAGCCGCTTTGAGGCCCTACTAGTGATATAATATCGTAACCGTATTGAAACGTCACCAACATCTTTGCCGTAACAGTGCCTACACACAAACTATTTGAAATTTACATTTTTCGCAACTTATTGAAAAAATATTGTTTTTTTTCATTGACATGTACAAACTAAATTATGTTTTAATAATGTACGTATGTTAAGGAGTAACTTACGTTTATTAATAATTGGTTTTCGGGAATTGTGGGCTCCTTCAGAGTTATGTCGTCGATGTTGGCAACGACATTGCTGCTTCTCTGTACAACAAAACAAAATATAAAAGGTTAATTATCAGTTTATAATATGACCCACTGCTGGGCAAAGGCCGCCTCTGTACAAAGGGTATAAAGGCATACTCCACCACGCTACCCCACTGCAGATTGACGGACTTTTCATAAATCTTCAAAATATTTTTTTCGTTATTATTTCGAAGTTATGCAGGTTTCCTAACAATAAAAAAACATACCCAAAGGCATTTATTTCGTTGCTATATCTTTCTGTCTAATTTAAGCGTGTAGTTTAGCATAAGTACATAAAACTAGTAAGGAGACCTTTGATCATGAGTATATACTTCATAATACATAACATACTTCTTCTTACAATAAAACCGTATCAAAAGCATCGATACGAGTAAGATACACTTTCAAATGAGATGTGCCGAAATACAATGAGAACAGGTACGAATTATAATGCTCAATTTTGACATACTGAAATTATCAATCATTTGAGTGTGAATCAATAGTGAATCAATAGTGTTGACGCTTGTCAATACTATTATGGTATCGAAACTTCCCTAGACCTGGAAGATATGTGCAATTCATGTAAGGCGTGTTTTGTGATTTCGGCAATTATCAATTAATAAAAAAAAATCCTGCCATTTGTAATAATTTTAAGGTGTTTTCAATAAAGAGTAAACAAATAAACATAAGGAAAGTAATACCTGAATTAAATCTTCAACTCTTTGTTCGTGCTCGGGCTCTTCTTGGATTATCAAGGGAAGTTTTGGACGCTGAACATTTTCCGTTATTGATGGCTCGTGGAATATCCATCTGTGATAAATTAAGATTTTCGTAATGGGATATTAAGACGATCCCATAAAGTATTTATTTTTATTAATTGAAATTAAACTTCGTTAAACTTCTTGGGGCGTTTGGAAAAAAATATGAGAGTAAACTTTTTACGATGCGCGCACACACCGACCGTCACAAGCGACATGATGCTTGGTAACCAATTTAATCTTGGCCACCAATAGCAACTTTTTGATATTAACCAAAAATATCATCTTATTTACATAATCCGTTATCACTTGCTTTCATTTACGCTAAAGTATAACTTCTTACTTGCGTACATAAGATCACACATATTGTTTTTATTAGTTAATAAATTGATACTTTACGTCCAATTAAGCCTCGCAAGTACGAACAACTACTTCAAAAAGCTCATTGATTACATATACGTCTAGATTCCGAAGAACAACACGTCATGGTTTCAAATGCAGGTATACGTTTTATACGTACTTACAGAAAACTACGGTTGCCGTCAGTACGCTCTACGCACCATAGGGATTTCGCCCCTGTGGGAATCGAAATCATGTTTTCCAGAATCGCTCCCAGGCGCTTTAACCTTTAAGCTAAACGGATGCTAAAAATTTCTAAATATAAAATTTTAATACATATTGTATGAAATTATAATTTTATAAGACGCATATTTTGAATTGAAAATTGAATTCAATTTTATTATATACCACGATTTAAGTGTTAGTAATATTTAATAACGGTCAAATAGTTTTAGAAAATCCTCAGTGTAATTTTTATAAAAACTTTATTAATTTATGAGGGAATGTGCTCCAACCTAACGTAAACAAAAATAACCAATGTAAACAAAATTTTCCCCATTTTAATCGTAAACTGTAACTATATTATTATATTACTATTACTATATTATATTCCTTTCATCCCACGCCGGCGCCCACAAGAATAAAAACATTGAAACTGCCATAAAATCAATCGAAATCTGTTATGAGGTGACACGGAATCTAGACGTATTTCTAAGATCTATCCTTTTTTATCATGAATTAAAAAAAAACATAAATAAAACTTACTTTTTATTTGCGTTTTTTATAACCGTAGCATTGATCATGCAGAGATCCCCTGGAGATATAAAAATTTTTATGATGTATGAAATATAATTTTGGTTTCTGTAGTAATTTTATAATTCTGCAATCTGCATACTAATCGTTTTAGTAAGAGGTAACAAACCTAGAAGGACAATAACTTTTCTCTGGTAAAGCCTCACCAACCCTCTGAGTAGTTGTGAACTCAAGCGCAGAGAAAATCTTTTGGCGGGACGGCCAGACTCATTTGTCATTACTTCGAGTAAATCGTCACTGGAAACAAATAAATATTACTTTCTCGTTCTACTATATAAGATAGAATTAAAAAAAAACATATTTTGAATGATTATCATTGACGATAAAATTTAAAATACCATATTTTTCTTATATCCTGGGACCACAGCTGCCTGTGAGTAATAGTCGCAAAACGTAATGGCCAAGAATCTGCGACCCAACATAAATAAAACCTTCCCCCACGTTTCAGCGAATCTTCTGGATAAAACATTTTAATACAAACTTTTCAATTCGTAAATTCCGCTTACCAGTCAACAACGTTACCATTACCTCCCAAAATATTGTTTTTCCCGCCACGGATCAAAAAAAGTGTGTCGTTCGTAGTATGGATTCCAGGTTTTTGCACACTTATGTAATTTATTTTAAATAAATAGAAAATATTTTGATAAACTTTTTCGGATTAAATTTACTATCGTAAAAACAAATTTCACTAAAAGAAATGGAAATAGATTAGACATTCCAACGACAAAACAGATACTTTGCATACAGTTAATTGAGATAATGAGCCATAATTTACATTTGCGTTTACTTTCTCAAGAGCAGTTTGTACATGTTTAACACGATCCAAGAGCCAATCAGATGAAAGTTCGAACCTCGACTTGAACCACCAACAATAGTTGAAGTAATATAGTTGAAATTGAGATTTAAAATCACTAGACTATGCCGGGTTTTTGAAACACCGTAGAAAGTAACTAATCAGCTGTCTGATGGCTTTTCAAATGTTATTTGAGTTGCCAAAAGGATTGTTAAACTCTCAAAATGATTTTCTTAATGCTCAGAATGATCAATTCAAAGAGTTTAACAATCCTTTTAGCAACTCAAATAACATTTGAAAAGCCATTAGACAGCTGATTAGTTAACTTCTACGATGACCAGTCTTTCAGAAACTAGGCGTTAAAGACTTTGATTTCAGTTTTACTATTTACGAAATGCAGAAAATCGATAATTTTTAACGTGGCAGTGGCTTTGAGTACAATTACAATCATATAGAAGCTCTTTGAGTAAAAGTGTTCTGTGTTTATAAGTTATTTATACGATGTTATGTAACCATAACTAAGTTACATGGTGTGGATTCTTCAGCGGCAAAATTAAATTTGAATACTTTTGTTTATTCTATATATGTTTATGCTATAGCAATGGATTAAGTTTTACCTTAGGAAATTGTATTGCACTTTGCAACCCCCCGCTATTGTCCTTCTAGGAATCGTTAGAGTAACGATTAGCAAGCATGTGCTCCGTGCATTAGATGTCTTTTAATATCGAGATAATAATCGCACGATAAGATGGAGTAGCGTCGGGGCTCGGCGCGAAACAATTTTTGAGGTTTTTAAAATGGACATTATCTCGTCTGCCGAAGAGCACGCTAAGGGTGGGTTAGTTAGTTAGTAGAGTAGCGGATCTATTTTCTTGGGTGAATAAAATTAGTGGGTTGCATGCTGGGAGAGTATTAAAGGTCGAGGCTATTTGAGAGGGATTAGCCCTTCTGATCGTCTTCAAATATTTTGCTGCATCTGAATGCATAGGGCAGAGTCAAAGGAGGTATTGAAAAGACGTTCTCTGTCGTAAAATTTTTCCCCAAATACCCAAGGCAATGTATTGCGAGATATCTTCCTTTAGAGAGTCCATTCATAAATTAATATTAGCAATAATTTTCTCAACATATGAACCAAAAAAAATTGCATATTTTCATAAAAAAACTTAGTATGTTATGTTAAATTTCGGAAGTTTCAAATACTGCACTCCATGATCACAAGCCGGACTGTAGAGAGATTGTAATTTTAGATGTTTGTTGTCAGTCAGACCGAGATTTTTGATGTCCTGGCACGGACTAGTAAAATTTCTTGTCCTGATGTCATTTTTAATTTAATCCGAAGGGCTGCCGTCGACATTTATTAATATGCTACTTTCAACGTTTCCGATCTACGCAGTAAAAGTATCATAGCAGTATCATATAATTTTGCAGTTGTGTTGTGGTCTGGACTTGAAATGACAAATCTTTTCTATGGAATAATTTTTATTCAAAAGCTTCCTTATTCATCCTTGGCAGGTTGCAATATTATTATTTGGGACAATTTGTAATCTATCAAGATTCAAGTCTGATGAGGTTGGGGCGGTTTTATGCGAGGTTTTAGTATAAGAAATACGCACTAAAACTGTCTTAAAAATTACATTAATATGCGCTTCTCAATTAAACAAGTGATAGTATATATAATTACAAAATCATAGGTACTGGGCTGTTTTTATATAAATTCGAACACTATTTAGGTATATAATCTGTATAGAGAAACTGTTAATGAAAAGTTAATCTTAAATCTATACAAATTAGGCATGAATTATACCTGCAACATTCTATACCCGGCCTCAAAGGTACGGGTATCGCCGTATACCCGGTGCTAAAACCCAGTATCAAAATACCTATATGTATTAGTTATGTTCAGGCCTCCTTTTTGAGACTCGGTCGAATCAAACGAATTGAACCTTTGGTTGGAATTGGAACATTTAGATGTTTTTTAGCAATCAGTTTTTTTAATCAGTCTAAAATAAGCTCCATCTTTACTAACGTAAAGAACCCTATTATCAAAAAAAAAGTAATTCAAAATAAATTTTACTGTTTACTGTAACCTTATTACGCAATTATTTATTTAACTTATGGTCATAGAAACAAAGAATAAATTTATCTGAAGGAATTATTTAGTATAAAATGCCTATATCATACGTTTCAATTCGGGCATGATCGGGAAGAGCCGCCGTAAGCGTTCGGGGAACTTTGTACCTATTCGGCCGGCGGGTTGTCGCGAGCTTTATATACCGCCACCGTCGGACGAGGCGGCCATACCTATCGGGTATGAACGGGCTACTGCCGTACATACCCGGTGTGCATACTGGTATGTTCATACTGGGTATTTATACCTGTGCCAGTATATACGCCTCATCCCTAATACAAATTATCTGTCATAATCATAGATAAGACATATATACTGAATGTAATGACATATATACTGAATATAATGACATATATACTGATCATAATGGTACAAACACACGAATTTAACACATGTTTTTCTTGGAGTGAAAACACAAAATGAATTACTAATAATTTATTATGACTAAGTATACTGTAACATTCGCACAAATCACATTTACAAAGGCAGTTGCTGTTTTCAAATATCGACTGTAATTATATATGTGTATTAATTGACGAAAAGCGAATTGTTTACTTTGGATTACAGTAAATTGGGAATTCCTTCGTTACATCGAAAAAGATACTTTAAATGGTTTTAAATTTATTTCTAATTATATCTATTGTTTATTACTTTTGCCCAGATTCTGCCGATTTTAGCCGTTGTATAGTATTTTTGTTTATTTCCTCTTCTGTGACACCACAAGTTAAAGCATCTTCGTAAGCCGTCCTTGCCTCGTTTATTCTATTTTCTAAAATACAAAGGTCAATAAGGCGGGAGTATGCATTGCCTATGGATGACAATGATAAGTTCTTATTCGTTTTTATAAACTCAATTAACTTATATATCAGCTGTGCATCTTTTCTAAGGTAACTTTGTTGTAACAGTCGTCTAAAAACGATTACATTAGCGTTGCTCAAACATTTTTCCCAAATAGATTTGGCTTCTTTGTCTTTACCGGCCAAGATGTATTCCATCCAAATTAAATTAGCGGGCAGGAAAAATCCTTTCGATGCCGATAAGCATGCTATTTCGTGGCCTGGAATGAAATCAATAGTTATTAAACATAATTATTACAAATGGAAGCAGAATATTTTTAAATTAAAGTATAATTAATATGTTTAATATGTGAAATGTGATGAAATAATAAACATACTCACATTTCTTTGAAAGTTCGTCATTCTGTACTGCGGAATCTAGAGCACTGCTACGGGGAAATTTTCTCAATGCTCTTTCCACATCTTCATCAGTATTTGCTACTTGGAGTGCTTTAAGCACACCATCAACATGTTCGAAACCTGCACCTCTCCTGAATATGGCTAATGTCAACTTGTCGTCGTAAGTTACACTTCGTTTCATTAATTCGTTTAAATGTTTGCCCAACAATTGTATCTTTTCCACATTACCATCTTCAGCTAAATTCTTAAGTAAGAATTTTAAAACTTTATTTTGTGGCATAATTCCGTCACCAATACATTTTACTGCATAATCCATAGCTTGAGCGGCCTCCCCTTGTTGTATCATATTCTCAATGATCATAGAAACATCCTTTTTTGTTTTTGTTGGGGCTTTTTTAGGTGTTGGAGTTTTTTCAATTATTTTTTCATTTAACTTGTTATCTGATTCCTGTTTATTTGGTATTATGAATGGTACTTCCCTGTTCTTTGATTTAAGGTGCTTACCAAGATAAATCAAGAAGTGATCACTGGGAATTTCACCTTCTTCCTGAAGAATAGTCCATAGCCCCAGGGCCTTGTCAGTTTCATCGGCTTTACAGTAAGAAACAAGCAAATGGTAGAAAATATTAGAGCGATCAATATGCGAAAGCTCTTTAGTCGCCTCTAGTAATCCTTCCAAGAATTCTGGCTTTCCTTCCTGTAATAAAATATTTCAGTTTAAAACAATAGTTCTTATCAACCTATATTATAGTTTGCAAAGTTTTGTTCATAACTGACCTAATATAAATGTAATATGTAACCACATTGAATACATAAACAAGATTGCATGCATTTATAATACAAAAAAAAATATTATTTACAAACCGAAACATAACGCTGGCAAGCATCGTCCAATCGTTTTTGTCTTGTGTGCAGGCCCGGAGTCTCTAAGATTCGGCGTGCTTGCCTCAAGCGACCACATTCTATGAATGCAAGTACTAAATCATGTAAGATGTTAACTTCTCCATGAATCTGAAAATTAACGAAATAATTTTTGGAACATAATTATACTTCAGCATGCAATTAAATATGAATAAAATATATGTGATAATAATGTATTTTAATAATTCAAAAACAAAAAGGGTTACAAATAAAAGTTTAATTCCCTGCAATGAAGAATACTTCATACTCATGGTTGGGCCACGTAACATTGTTCACTGTTGCATGAATGGGCAGGTCCGTCATAGTAAGTACAAAAACCTCACAGAAGACCTGCATGATGTGGAAGTGTTAAACTTCTTTATTTCGTCTGGTGTGTGAGTAGCTGTGCCCACATTATTTAAATGTTCCATTTGTAACCCTATGGGTGTTGCAAATGTTCATGAGGGGCGGTTATAACTTAACAGTAGTTTAACAACCAGCTTGTTTTCCACTTTCTCACATTAAAAAAAAAATGTTTTTGTTGTTTAATGTTACACCATGATAAACTTCAATATATTACCTGTGTGCTAAGGTCAGCCAACCACTGTAGTTTTGTAGCGTCCTCTTTTAATATAAGTGATTTCATTAATTCTCCTTTCCATGGGGTACTCCTGTATTGTTTGCAACAATTCTCAAACTGTTGTAAAGCACTCTCTATATCATTTTTAAGTAAGTGCACTTTGATAGAAGGGCCCAGTATAACATTTGATGGCTCAATGTAATTGTTTTCAATCAATAACTTTGTCATCTCAAGAACCTAGAAAGATTTTTAAAAAAGGCATTTAATAATGCAGAGAATGTTTATTTTGATAGAAAGCTAGTATCACTACTCTAGAGTACAATTGCAGTTTTGAATTTGGGTAGCATACAATAATATAGATTTTTAGTAATAACATACTTGAACATTTTAATTTTACGTACTTTAGAGTCCTCTTTAAGTTCTGCCAATGTGTTCAACATTTGCCAAACTTTAGAATTCAACAAAAAACCATTCCCTTCACTTTCATTTGGTTTGTTTTCTTTCAATAACTTAACAGCTTCATCATATCGATTGGCTCTTACTAAACCATAAGCTAGTAAAACTGTTTTTAGCTTATTTAACACAAATTCAGGATCTTTTTTGGCAATTTGAGCTTTTGCCTCAAGAGCCTTATCAATATTGTCGTTTTGTGAATAAAATTCAACTAATTGAGCTAACATTGCATTTGATAGTTCAAATTTATTTGACTCCAATTCTTCTAAATAGGTGGATAGTTTCTCCACATTGTTCTCCTTGATATATGCTTCAAACAGTTGTTTAGTAATGCGATTAACATTATTGCCACCATTACTTTTAATTTGAGCCAAGAGACTTTCTAATTGAGCTGCAGATCTAACTCTAGGACGTGTGTTTTCTAGGGGAACCGCTTCCAATTCGGACGAGGTCAACTGAGACAGTAGTTCAGATAAATCTGTAGTCATATTCTGCCCAAGGAATTGCTCTATTTCTTCTGCATATGCTGTATTGATAGAAAGACCTTTGGAGTGAACTGCCACCAATAGTTTTTTGCACAAATCTGGTTGAACCAAATTCTTTACAGCAATTTTTACAATACGCCCTACTTCCTTACTTTTAGTATCGTCTTTCTGAGTTTCATCATTTGCAGAATCTTCTTCAACATTTATTGAAGGTTGACTGCTTATAACATGCAAAATGGTAACAAAGGATTCAATGTCTTTTGTTTTATTTAGAGCACCTACCAAAGGTCTTGAAATCAATGAATACTGTCCTCTTGGACGATACTGTAAAGCAATATCAGCTGCCTTTTTGATATTACCCGATTCCAATAGCTCTAACATAACATTTCTAGCACTATGAGTGATAGGTACATTTGCGATTTGTAATTTTATAATAATATTCTCTGGTGTGTCCTTCTTTATTAGATATGGTATCACATAATCTCTAAGAGCTTCACCAGTAGGAACAAAACCTTCATTATCCATATCTCTAAGGATTTGTAAGAGACCTTCTTCATCCCCATCTTTACCTTTCTGAGCCAATAGAGGCCAATAGTAATGCTGTCGCAGTTCCAATCCATCTTTTTGAAGTTCCTTAAAAAGTTTCTGTGCGAGTTCAGGTTTATTTATATTCAAAGCTGTTTCGGCAGCTATGTACAGTGCTTTTGGTACTACACCTTCATCTTGAAGTTCTCTGCAAGTTTTAACAATGGCCTCTGCGGACTTGTCAATTTTTATTAAATGTTTCACAAAAAATGCCCCCTTAAATGGTGTATCCTCACTAGTGGAAACTTTTGGCATTGTTTTCAGCATTTTTTTTGCTGTCTCTTCATTGCCCTTGTTAAGTAGTCTTAATATGAAGTTGCATACATCTTGATTGTATCCATGACCTTTTTGAAGATGAGGGATAAGCTGTTCAATCTTACTGTCATGGCCTACAATTGCAAGATGCTCAATAATGTCTAGAATATCCTGTAATAAATATTAACAAAATTATATTATCAAAATATGTGAAATTGCATGGCAAAATTTGTAGCTGTAAATTCAAAAATGTAACTCTAAATGTAAATCGCAATCAGTGTTTTATTTTTAACAAAATAAAACTGTACCTTATCGGTCATATAAATATCTTTTTCAATTGCAGTCTTAATAGTACTTTCTATGTTCTGAATGTCCCCTTGTTTTGCATATCCACAGGCTAACAAGGTGTATGTCCGATTAGTTGGCTGAAGACCAGCAGCAGCCATTGTTTCTAATACTGCTTTAGCTCCATCAGTGTCACCATGGAATGCATGACCCATAACTAATGCATTGAGCACTGGCTCTGACACTGGGAGTTTTAACTCTCTCATTCTTTCCAATACTTTAGTGGCTCCCTCAACATCTCCCTCCTGACAGTAACGCCACATTAGTCTTTGATATGTTACCCTGTAACAATAAAATCAATTGATTTTTTTAAATACTTGATTTACATATTTCGTAAAATACTCCATCTAATACCCATGCGTACTGAAGTCTGTGTAAAATCTAAAGTGATAAAATGCACAAAACTTGTTTGTTTAGGAAGTAACTAACAAAAATGTTCCCATACAACTTTCAAAATAGAGAGAAGTTAAATTACCTTTTATTCTATCAAATTTTGTTTTTACAAATTTATGATGAAATGTTGATCAATCAAACTAACATCATTTTAAATTGTTGTATTAATTAACATTATCTTGAATTTACCTGTTTGGTTGCAGGCCCTTTCTTTCCAACTCTTCAAGGAATTTTGCAGGTGAAAAGGCATGTTCATTTTCAATATAAACTCTGAGTAAAGCATTGTAATGTGATATGTCCATAGGGATTCCTCTTTCTGCCAAAACACCCCATATCTTCTGTACTAACAGTGTTCTTTGTTCAGGAAGTTCCTCAGGGACAAGCTCTCCTAAAATATTCAATATCCAAATGATTTATTTTTGACATGATGGAGAAAAGTACAAGTGTCGCGGTTTTCATGAGTAGTGCATTATAATTTAATATTTAAATGATATTGACTCTACTATTACAAGTTTTAGTGTAGGCTCAATTTTACTAAAATTACCAAATGTGTGATATTTATGTAAATAGGAATTTAAAATATTAGTTTATGATTAGAGAGAAGATCATTGTATTATGTTATATATTAAGTATAGAAAAAATTTATGCTTGTAAAATTGCATTATTTACAAAGTGTCTGATTTTAAATAAAACATACCACAACATCTTATAACCAGTAATGACTGTGAGCTAGTAATGTCACTTTTTGATCGTATTTCATCAAAAACCTCATCAATGTCTTTTTTTGTGATCCTCCCAAATCTCCTTACTTCTGAATCTAATCTTTGTAGCAATGGCTCCAGCTTTTCATTTTTTTTTGAAGTGGCATACTCTCTTGTAAGAACACTAAAAAAAACCAATAGTGTTTATATCTGCTACAAAAGGTAATAAAAAATAAGCTTCTGAACTGTAATGAATGATAAGAGAAAGACTAACTACGAAATAGATATTGATGATAGCTGTAAGCTATTAAGAATTGTTCTAGTTTTGTTTTTGGGAGGAATTTAAGTGTTCTGAGAGGTAGGCTAGTGAAATAGACGATGGAAAAACCCACAGAAAAGTGGCATTAGTCAAGCTATTGATTTATGAGTTAAAGGTTGTTGAGGATTTGAGCTGGTACAACCCCGTTCCCTTTCCAGCCATCAACAAATGATGAATATTTCTTTTCTTCAACATTGGAAAATAATTGTTCGTAACCAATCACATCTTGTATTAACTACTTTACTTAATGTTTTTGCTTTCAGTCCCGAGACTTTTAAAGCTTCATCTGACGCAGAACCGGTGGGCTAGCCAGAATCCACCTATCACAATTACTTTTACCGATAATGGTACAATTATGATCAATGAATAAACAATACAATTAAGATTATAATAATATAAAACTTACTTATTGCTAGCACATAACGCTTTTGGATTAATGAGTAAGTTTGCTTCAGCAGTCTTTGCAGAATTCAATATTAATGTTCTTGCCGCACCAGTAAAGTATCGTACAAATTTTGTTGAACGTAATAAAGAAGACATTTTTGATGTTTTCTTCTATCACATTAACGTAATAAAAATACTTTAATTACTAACTTTTCTTTAATGAAATAGTCGGTTCATAAAAATTTCTTTGGGAGCTATTGAGGTTATCTTATTATGTCACAGACTTTGATCACAGACAGCAGAATAAGCTGCGAGATCAGATAAATAATTTTAATCAAAATTTAGACCACAGATGAAAAAAAAAAGGTTTTTGTGAAAATCTTTAGTTGTAGTAATTTAAACTGTGGTAGGACTAGGAGTTAGGACCACGCAACAGTTTCAGTTTACACGAATGGGCAGGTGCTTGTGGGTAATTACCATGACCTCACGGAAGACCACGTGGAAGTATTAAGTAATTTCTACGTTTCGTCTGGTGAGTGTGATAGCCGGGGCCCTATTTATTAAAAGGTGACAACGCATCTGCAAACTTACGGATGATGCAAATATACATGAGCGTTATCACTTAAGATCAGGTGAACGGCCCGCTCGCTTGACATTTTTTCACATAAAAAGAATAAACTCGATCCCTGGTATCGGCATCAATGCAATTGTTAATTTTAAGTGCTGACTTATCACGGGCTCAGCGATGAAAGAAAACATCGTGAGGAAACCTGCAAATTTAGTAATAATAACAAAAATAAGGAACTTCGTTCCAAAAATTCGCAGAAATATGTGAATTCCACCACTCCTCAGTGGGGCTGCGTGATGGAATATGCCTTTATAGCCTCTGTACAGAATTTTAGTCGGAGATTCTTAGCACCCCCTGGTCTGCCATTACCATGACCACTACCGTACACAGGCCTTCAGGGCTGCCGGGGACTGGGGGCCGCATATCTTGGACTTCCATTCATTAGGTGTTCCATAGTTGCAACGCCTGACAAGTGGGTGGGCAACTGCAGTTTTTCTAAACACATGTATGTATAATTTGCGTTATGTTAAAAAATAAATATTGGAATAGTAAAATGTCAAGATCTTTTTCTCTCCATTTAACGAGAACTCTCTTTAACGTCAAAAAATTAATAGTCCTGCGACGCTAAATAGTTTACACTATGGTTTACGAAAATTAAATTATTTATGAAACACAAGGTTTGCGAAAATTATTCTTGAAGTGATTACGAAAACCATTAATCATCGAAATTTAGTAGTTTCTTTAAAAAAATAGTTTCGGAATTAATTATATTTATTATATTAACTAACATAAAGTTAGTGATTCAAAACGGTCCGACACAGGACATATCGAGGGTAAGCAAGATGCGAATGTGCACGGATTGCGATGTGCACAACGCTGCAGGTTACCCGGCTGAGTCACCCGGTCGTTAGAGGGCAGAGCCGTCTCGGATGCCCGTTCCCAATGGGTGTCTGCAGGCCTTTATTAAGTGTCTTAGCGACGCTTCTAAGAGTGGTGGTCAGGGCAGTGATTTTAAGGTTACGATGCGTTCCGCCTATACCATAATGAAGTTACGCGACGAAAAATCTTTTTTAAATCACTTGTGACGGCAAGTGTTTTGTGCGAAACAGACACTAGCAATTAATATTATGGAACGTAAACAAACATTATTGCCTTAGTCTTCTCCAGGTTGACCTCGATCCGCCACTTTCATCCTGATCATCGTATAAGTTAACTTATCAACTGTCAAATAGCTTTTCAAAAGTCATAATTTCAGAAATCGGGCGTCAGTTTAATAATTACGTTAATCAATTGCTTAATATTTAATAAAGACATACTATGAAGCAAAATGTTTAAAGATGCAAAAAAGCTACCTAAATCAATAATTATATAGTATATACCATCACAACTGTAAGGATATAAAGATCTATTATTAGAATAATACTTCAAAAAATTAAACAAACATTTTTAGTACAATGACTCAATGACATTTATCATTCTACAGATAGGTTATTTTTTTAGTGTTACTATAATGTAACAGAAAACTGAAACTTCAAAGTTCAACTTGATATCAACGTAACGTAATATGACCTATGTAATCTATAGTTAATTTATGCTTAGATTTCAGTATATATGTCTTATCTATGGCTTAGATACTGCATATCGAAAACGAAACTTTCGTATTCGGCTTCACTTGACTACGCAATTCACACATAAATCGAAAGTAAATCAAGCGAGTAACCGGTGTCAAGTCTATAAAACGGATATTACTGTTTGAAGTTACATCAAACTGTGTCTTTGTAAATTAAAATAACAGTGTTTTAATTATGGTAAGTTCTGGATTTTTTCTCCAGTTGTTGACTTGACATTGCTTTGACCTTTCATATATCTTGGGCATTCAATTTCTTAACCAAATGGACCATTTAAAGAATAATGAAAATGCGGTCATAAAACCAGGGTTATGATATGAGAAAGCCGGTTGACCAACTCTTTCAAGAAATCTGCAGTAACAAGTGGGGATTGTTATCAAGCGGTGATAACAGTATCAAAAAGAATGGTATTTAGTTCATTCTAATAAATAATTACTATCGGTATGGCATGTTGCTGCGCGGTTTCGGAATTTGATGACACCGACATTGTTGTGATCAAAACTAAAAATATGGTAACTGCTTCTATTTATGTTGCCAAGGTCAAGGGTAATGTTTTTGGGATGCACCTACAAATTCCAAAACACGTACATACACCTAAATTATATTTTTCTGTTTTAGGCTGCCCCAATCAAAGTGGTGGTAACTGGCGCAGCTGGCCAAATTGCTTACTCTCTACTGTACCAAATTGCTTCTGGTGCAGTGTTTGGACCAGAACAGCCTGTTTATCTTCACCTGTTAGATATTGCTCCAATGATGGGTGTGTTAGAGGGTGTAGTTATGGAACTTGCCGACTGTGCCTTACCTCTACTTACTGGTGTGCTTCCCACTGCCAATCCTGAAGAGGCTTTTAAGGATGTTGCTGCTGCTTTCTTGGTTGGTGCTATGCCAAGGAGAGAAGGAATGGAGAGGAAAGATTTACTCTCTGCTAATGTTCGAATTTTTAAAGAACAAGGTCAAGCATTAGATAAAGTGGCCAGAAAAGATGTCAAAGTACTTGTTGTAGGCAACCCAGCAAACACCAATGCTCTGATTTGCTCCAAATATGCACCATCTATTCCAAAAGAAAACTTTACCGCAATGACTCGTCTTGACCAAAACCGTGCTCAGTCTCAATTAGCTGCAAAATTGGGTGTACCAGTTCAAGATGTTAAAAATGTAATCATTTGGGGAAATCACTCATCTACACAATTCCCCGATGCATCTAATGCAATTGCCAAAATCAATGGTACGGAGAAGCCTGTTCCCGCCGCTATCAATGATGATGAATATTTGAGAACTACATTTGTGACCACTGTGCAAAAGCGTGGAGCTGCAGTTATAGCTGCTAGAAAGATGTCCTCAGCTTTGTCAGCCGCTAAGGCCGCATCTGACCATATGCGAGACTGGTTCTTGGGAACCGGTGACCGTTGGGTTAGTATGGGTGTTGTGTCTGATGGCTCGTATGGAACTCCACGAGACATTGTATTCTCTTTCCCTGTAACGGTCAGCAATGGAAAGTGGAAGATTGTGGAGGGCCTCACAATCTCTGATTTTGCTCGTCAAATGCTGGATAACACTGGAAAAGAGTTGGCTGAAGAAAAGCAGGATGCTTTGGATGTATGCAAGGATTGAATATCTAGATTATAAGTATAACTAAATGTAGCTGCAAATACAATGAGTAGGTACAACTCATCTTTTTTTGTAGTTACAAAAAATTATGTTACTTTATCATAGAAGCTTGTATGATATCAGTTTTTTTTTTAAATTAGATTTATCTGATATTATAATATTGTTGATATTATCTCTATAGCAATAAATTTATGCAGCCTATTGCTTTTTTTTACACAACATTGCAAGCATGTCATTTTTGTTATGTAATATTGTTCAGATTACGTAATTAAATATTTCCTCACACTTAACTTATTATCTCATTTCTTTCAAGGTTTACAACTTTTTACCAGGCCATTCAAGGCTGTTGAAGAATTATACAACTTATTTTCTACAAATTATCTCTCACTTAGTCAGAAACAAATACATAGTTGCTTATACAGCAAACTTAGAGTTTATAAATTTAGAGTAGTTTACCAATACCTACTTTGGATAAAAATGGGATCTCCATAACTCTAGGGCCATATTTAATCATTAGTTCCTATTACCACGCTCTGTCTACTTTTTTTTAATAAGTTACTGTTCATTCAACATTCAAGACAAATGATTTGTGCACATCATACCAGTAAGTACCAAATGAACTATTATAAACTTCTTCATGTATATATATCATGTTATGTTTCATGATATCTGCATGGTCTGTTGCACCTTGTTCTTCTTGCCAACATTTTCTTAGTGCTCTTGACCCTGAAAATTTAAAATACTAACCGCATTCGCTATTTTGATTTTCGAAATTTGATTATTGTCAATAATTTTATTTTTAAACAAGGTACTTAGAAATTTATCCTGTAATAGAAAGCATCATCATAAGAACCGTGATAGCTCAGTGTCCGGGCGCTCGCCTTTCGCAACATACTTTAAATTAAAATAATATATTTTCTTAAAAATATATATTTTTCACATCTACGCGCAACAAGTTAGCAGCTGTCAGAATGGCTTTAATAATATGTATACTGTGCAATATGCATTGCACAAAAAACTTCAATAATTTTGATAAAGGTTGTTGTTTCATTTAGAAAGAAATATCATTTATATCTCTTTTCGGATATAAGAATGCTAACTTTGATAATCACTTCCTTAAAATGATTTGATATTATTATACCGTTATAATCTCGTCCCATTTTTCCGCCGTTCCCTAGAAAAATCGGACTTTTTAAAACCCCGCTGGACGCGTAATTGATAAAAATCATGATTGTCCCGTGGGTCCCGCCAAAAGGTGACCAGAGGTCACCCTAAATTTAAACGATAGTAGTCATTTGACTACTATCGATTTCAATTATTTACGTAAGTTTTTTAAGATATGATTTAACAGATAATTTTCAAGATAAGTTCTTATTTCATAACGATCAGAGCCGTTTGCAAAATACCTAATAAGAGATTATGTATAATTTTCGACTTAAAATGTTGGTGCTTTGATACTGTCTTGATTGTAAATCAGCCATGTAGCGATTTTCAACCGGTATTGTTAAATATATAAACACATTTTTTACGATGGTGCCTTAGAAAAAAACAAGTAGAATATAATATAATAAAAAAATACAGAAGAATTTTAAGTATATATTGTGAATGTGAAAAAATAACTAAATTGAAACAATGTTACCATTTTATTTTTATCATGTCCCTAATGTTAGAGAGAATTCTTGCGTCATATTTATAAACTAGATACAGAGGCTACGTTATCATTTATGTAGTATGATCATTTAGTTACAAAGATTATCATAATTCAAATCATATGATAATAAAGTTTAACTTATCACGGATATTGTACACGCAATAATTGCATGACTAAATTTTTTAATTTATTTTGATTTAGTATTATACGTACAATAAAAATACAAGATGTGGTTTCAATTTCATTTAATCATCACTGTTTGATACACATCATCTTATGAAGTAATTTTTAAGAAGAGTAAATTAACAGTCTATGATTTATGTCCCTTTGCTGGCGCAGATACCGCAGATTTTCAGACTTCACGTGTTTTTTACATGTATTGTTATTATATACTTAGTAGTTATGTAGGTTTCCCCATAATGTTTTCGCACTAAAATTGCAATTAACAATTTAATATAAGAATTATTTATTTATTTTTATTTTATTATTGTAACAAAATCCACGGCACTTTTTAAAATATATATATAAATACTAAAACTTAAAGCCAATTTGGATTTACATTATTCTGCTAAATTATTTAAATTACGACAATAATTAATTAGAATATAATGACAAAAAGTATATTGAAATAAAAGCCAGCATCCAGACACCGATATATCACGGCTCTGTTATTAACAAGTATTTTATTACCCTAATAATGTTCCTGTACAAACAACGGATAGTTATGTAGTGTATTTAGCTTTTTTTAATTTTTTATGTGACAGTGGCAAATGAGCTGGCGATTCACCTAATGTTAAGTGATAACCGACTGCCCATGGACATTTGCAAAACCCGTAGGATTACAGATGCATTACCACCTCTTAATAATTTATTTATTTATTTAATTTAACTTTATTGCACTTAAAATTATAGTACAAAGGCGAGCTTAATGCTAAACTGCATTCTCTACTCTACCCTAGGTAAAACAGAAAGAAAATGACTAGTAATACTTACATATGCATACATACATGTTAAACCATTAATTTATACGTACACATACATAATAAAAATACTTAAATATTTATATGCCAAATATATAATATATACATATATATATACATTTATAAATATATACATACCAGATGTTCGATCAAAGTAAACACTATACTGTAACTAAGACTAAATTTCATCAGCAAGGATACGCTCAGAGTTTTCTTTTAAATACGTTTTTTGATGGCGTTTGTCACAGGTCAACAGGCAACTTGTTCCAAAGTGATAGAGAGATAGATAGAAGTGACAGTGAAAGAATTTGACATAAAACCGAAGTGATGAGAGGGTACAGGCAGTAATAAGTTATGTGAAGAGCGAAGATTAAGGGAACGCGGGTCACTGAGGAGCTGAAACCTTTCTTTTAGATAAGAAGGAGAGGAAGGGTCATAGAGGATTGAAAACAAAGCAGACTGGAGACGAAATTCTTTGCGCTGACGTATCGTCAACCATTTCAGTTGAGAAAGGAAGTGAGACAGGGACTGAACAAGAAGAAGTTTAGTGGAGGAAGGCAAGAAAGCTTTGAGACGATACATGGAACGAAGTAGGCAAGTTACCCTGCGACAGATATCTGTTACATGTAGTGTCCAAATAATAGATGCGTGATTATACCTAAATCTTTGACACTACCAGAGAAGGGAATAATGCAATCATCATACTGGATGGGTGGTAAATCACATGTATTAAGTCGAGAAAGTTGCCGACGGCTGCCGATGATGATGGCTTGGCATTTATTGGGATTTACTGTTATTCCGTAGCGCTTGGACCTACTTAAAATACGTCTCAAATCACCATTGATGCGAGAAATTGCAGTATCAATAACGTGGGCCCCGACTACCTCGCTCACCAGACGAAACGCAGAAGTGTAACACTTCTACTTTGTGCTGGGCTTCTGTGAGGTCGTGGTACTTACCAGGACGAACCTGTCCATTCGTGCAACAGTGAACACCATTGCGTGGCCCTACCACAGTTGAAGTTTGTAGGCAATATTAGTTTTAATTCAGTAAAATAAGGTGTTAAGCATTTTAACAATCAAATAAATCTTATTCGCTTTGTAATTTAACATCTTTGTATGTTAACTAAAGTCTCAGACTGGGGACTAAACAGTCCGATTCAACCCCAATAAGACATAAGTTTGCACGTTAACCGCTGAAAAGTCCCCATTTGTCGTGACTTCTCTTTTTGAGGAAACCCCCCTAGCAGCCACAGCTAGAATCGGAATAGTTGGCGTCGAAATCTGGAGCAATGTTCAGTTCCGCGATCAATTGGAAAGTAAGGCCAAATTGGCCTCAAAGAAGCTTGGTATGCTCAGCAAGGCGAGACGGTACTTAAAGTCGGCTCAGCGCCTAAACCTTTATAAGGTGTAAATTCAGCCCCACATGGAGTACTGTTCTCATCTCTGGGTGGGAGCTCCCCATTACCAGCATTTTCCATTTGCCCGCATTCAACATAGGGCAGCTAGGGTTATCGACGATCATATTCTTTCCGATCGGCTTGATCCTTCGGCTCTGCGTAGAGATGTTGGATCACTCTGCATATTCTACCGCATTTATCACGGAGAGTGTTCCGATGAATTATTTGGATTGATCCCGGCGGCTGAATTTCACCATCGGATATCGTGCCAAAACTAAAAAATTCATCCACACCACCTCGATTTCCAGTGTTCCAAAACAGCGCGATTTTCAAGGCCATTTCCTTCGCACAACCGTGTGGGACCAGCTGCCGCCGGCGATCTCCCCGAAACCTGGGAAACTTCATGAAGAGAGCATACTCATTCCTAAAAGGCCGGCAACGCATTTGTAAGCCCTCTGGGTTGAGGCGAGCCTCCTGTTCGTTTGCTGCTTTTTTCCCATAAAAAAAAATAGGGCTGCCGACGCTCCGGGTTTAACCCGGCGTTCGGTTTTAATGGGCCATATCTTTTTTTTTTTTTTTTTTTTTTTTTTCGTGGGAAAAATCCTTTATGGATCCCCTGCCACTGGATGGGAGAAGTGGCAGGGGTATGTGGGAGTCCCGTTAAAAACGGTTACCCACTAAAAAACCCACGTTGCACCTGTCTCTGTCGCATCAGCCGGGGACACGGGAACACGTGAACGCAATCTTCCGCGACCCCGGCGCGACTATGGCCCCTTTACGCCTCCTCTACTACATAGTGCTGTGCCCGTGCAATTGGCACAGCACACGTCACGAGCCCCATATTGAGCGACAGACACTCCCATGTCTGCCGCTCAGGGTCTCACCATCAGGGGGGAAGGTTGCGCGCGTAGGCCAGCCTCCTGCGCCCTGGTCTCCGGCGGCGAATTTCCAGGGTGGCAGTTGCCTCCCT